GGCAGCCCGTCAGCGGGCGGATCGCCGGTCATCTCGGCCCCATGCACCATTAGACTCTCAACCTGCTCGGCCGTTACTCCGGCCCAATTCCAGACCATAAATCTCCCTCTCAAGCTCTAATAATAGCAGATCTTATATGCTGTAATATTTAGCAAATTAAACAACAAATGATCTTATTTAGCAAATTAAAATTTTAGAGGGAAAAAGCTAAAACAGATGATCTTATATGCTGTAATAGTGAAGAGACACATTTTGATCTTATATGCTGTAATAGTGAAGAGACACAAACAAATCATCTTAACCCATAGATGTTTGATTTTCAGAATTTTTTTTTTGCTTCAGAAAAAAACAAACTGAAGGTAAAAAAACAGAGGTAAAACTGAAGGTGATGGTGGATGACGGAATGATGAAAAAAAAAAACAGAGGTAAAAAAAATGAATGGAAAAACAGAAAGAAAGTGAGGAGAGAAGAGTGCTTTACCTGGTGATGGTGGAGAAGAGAGCTTTCGATTGAGCTTTGTTCTTCCTCTTCAGAGCTTTCTTCCTTCTTCAAAGCTTTCTTAGAGCTTTGTTCATTGATACATATGATGTGAAGAGTGCCTTACCTGGTAAGTGCAGTGGGTTGGTGAGAGTAGATAGGTAAACAAATCTGAACCATTGAATTTTAGTCATTGATAAATCTAGACCATTGAAACCCTTTTCAATCTCAGACATAATTTTTGAATTGGATAAATCTAAACCATTAAAGATAGTTTGTGAGAGAGATATTTTTAAAAACAAATATTAGCCATTGCTTTTTAAATTTGATAGATCTGAACCATTAATTTCAAAGATTTTTTTAAATGAACCCTTCCATTGTTATATAGATATATATATACATGGTAGTTTGATTATTTTGTAATGCTAGGATCATAAAAAAAAAAATATCATGAAAATGATCATGAAAGATTATTTACTTTTGGATTATACATACAATAAAATACCACACACTAATTAAATGATGAAAAATTTTCATGATGTATTTCATGATATTTTTTTCATGATTCCTAACATTACTCTTCTGTAATAGTCTATCCTTATGATATAGGCCTTGTTTGTTATAAACTAAAAAAGTCAAAAAGTTAAAGTTATTATCTTATTTAAGTTATATCACCTCTCTTCAAACCGAACCCATACCCAATCCATATTTCATAAAAAGTCAAAAAGTGTACTTATTTAGATCATTCCAAACAATCCCATAATGCCAACTCATATTTCATAAAAAGTCAAAAAGTATACTTATTTAGATCATCCCAAACAATCCCATAATGTTTTAGTGTTTGGACCTTTAGGCAAGGAAAAAGGCAATTCTATTTCTATATATTAATTTCACTCCGTTCACATATTTAATGAAAATTTTCATTAATACAATTTTGTATTAGAATAAAAATATCATAATACTCTCATTTTCTTCTACTCAAATTGTATTTCTAAAACGCCACAACCATCCTCTATCGCCAACGCCACCTCTCTCATCCGTTATCCCCTCCCGATACCTCTTTTCTTATCCGCTTGCGATTACTTTCCGCCATGAATCATATACTCCCACAAGTCTCTCACCACGAATCACTCAATGTTGACTCTGGTAGTCTAGGATGGAGGGGGGTGAGCTAAAAGTGGTGATGGAGGGTTGAAAGTGGCGGCAACGACAGTAAAAGATGAGTGGATGAATGGAAAAAAAAAAAGAAGATTTTATTTGGTATAGTTTTAGAATATGTTTTAAAACATAAAAAAAAAATAAAATTCTTATTAATATGGTTTCATCTTTTCAGGAGTAAAGAGATTTAAAAATGAAAAAAAAAAAATTCTTGACATTTATTTTTGTCAAATTAATTTATATTTTTCTCATAAAAATTTTAAAATTTTGATTCAAAAATTAAAACCAAACATAGTCTTAAGGTTTTAAAATTGAAAATGAGAGTAATATTAGAATATAGAGATGTGTACTGAAAATTTATATTTTTATAATGTATGTATTGAGAAAGTGTTCATTAAGTGTGTATATTGGGGGAAATTAGTGTGTGAAAATAGAATTACCCAAAGAAAATCCAAAAGTAGATTTATCACCCAAGTGCCCCTTTTGAGAATTGACTTCTTAAGAAAAATTTAGGCTCTGTTTGGTAAACCTCTCAAATTATAGTTCTACTCATTGATTTGAGTGTAGTGTTTGTTTTGAGCTTTCAAATCATAATTCTACACTCATTTCTCAAAACTCAATTTAAAACATAATCATTACTTTTCAAAACTCATAACCAAACACATAATTCGAAACTTAATTCAAATCAATATTTTAATTTTTTAAATATTTTAAAAATATTTTAATTTTGTTAAGATTTTTATTTTAATATTTAAATATGTTATGATTTTTTTAATTTTTTGAATATTTTTAAATATTTTAATTTCAAAATATTATGATTTTAATTTTTAAAATTTTAAATTATTTTATAAAAATAAATTCAAACTCTATTTTATAAAAATATTTTTAAATATTTTAATTTTTTTACTATGTATTTGGTTACGATTTAAGTGTAGAGTTGTGAAAGTAGTATAGAGTTTCGAGTTATGTGTTTAGTAAGTTTTAAAAATAATTTCTTAATTGAGTTTTGTTTTATGTGTTTGGTTACAATTTGAGTGTAGAGTTGTTTTTAAATTTAAAATATTAAAATTTTACATTATTTAAATTTTTTGAATATTCAAATTATTTAAACTTTAAATTTTTACGATTTAAATTTTTTGAATATTTATTTTAATTTTTTACTTTTTAAATTTTTTAGATTATTTAAATTATTTAAATATTTATGATTTAAATTTTTTGAATATTTATTTTGAAAAAAAATTATTTCCTTTGCAATATTTTCAATTAAAAAAATTGATTAATGTTATTTTCTATTAATAATAAAAAAAATTTAATTGAATTTTAAAAAGAGTTTGGTTATGAGTGTTGATCAGAATTTTTAATAGTGTGAAATAGTGTGTTTTGTTATGAGTTATAACAATTTGAATTAAGTTTTGAAAACTCTTTCAAAAACTCATAATTAAACACATTTTCTTGCTTCACATGTCAAATCAAAGTTTCAAAACTCAATTCCACACTCAATTCAAAACTCAATTTAACATTCTATTCAAAAATCATAATCAAACAAATTTTCTACACTCAAATCATAATTTCAAAACACACAAACTCAAAATACAACTCATATTCTCAAATCATAGTTAGAAAGTCTTACCAAATGGAGCCTTAGACTGTGTTTGGAGAGGGTTTTGAAATATGATTTCACCCCTTTCCTTGTACCCTTTGTTTGGATAGAGCGTTCAAAAATTAATTCCACACCACTTTTAAAAACTCGTTTCAGGCGGGATTTGAATTTTGGAATTTTGCCTACCTGGTTGTCCTCCTGGATGTCTAGTCAGTTAACCGAAATAGTGTAATTTTTTTTGGGGCAATTGGCACCTGTAATTCTTTATATATTAAATAAAAAAATATTTTTCCAATTTTTAAAATTTTTTCATAAGCTTTGAATATAATTTTGGGTAGTGTCTGTTAGTTATGAGTTGTAAGTTTTTTAATCAAATATCATATGTCACATTAATTTTTCCAAACTTAATTCAAAACTCTTTTCAAAACTAATAACTAAACAAATTTTTCACACTCAAATCATAATTTCAAAACTCACAAACTCAAAATACAATTCTATTAGCAAATCACAATTCTAAAATTCTATCAAATGCAACCTTAACATAAAAAGAAAATAAAATAGTTAACTTTTTGTAGTGACTTTTTGACTAAAAACTTTGACTTTTTAAAATAGGCGCAAGTGTGATAACAAATACACTTTCTAAGGTTTGTCTAAAATATAAATTGCCTATTGTGGTTATAAAAATTACATCTCGTTCCTTAAAGTTTTTAATCAGATAATAAATGACTATTGTTATTAAAAAATTATAAAGTTAATTAATAATTTTAATGATATCAAAAATATATTTAAATTAATAATTTAAATAATTTTATTATTGTTTAGAAGAGTAGTTAAAAATTTTATTTTTTTTGGGTTAATTTTCTTAAATAAAAATTAATACAAAGGTGTATTTATAATTTTTAAAATTACAAGAGAAAATTGATATTTTAAACAAATATTTGTAATTTATTTTATAATTTTAAAAAAATTAAAATGAGATTTGATAGGCAATAATGATTGAGACCTTTTTTTGGGATCCCACAACCCCTTTTGAATCTCAACTATTGATATATGTGTGGAATTCACTCTTGTATGTGTGAGACCTACACCATCAATGATTAAAATTTAAAGAGAATTGTGAGATTAAAAAAAAAAAAAAAGAGTTGCAATTATTTTTGTTTGATAGGAGGGGAAGGTTCATTTGAGATGCTATGACGACTAAATAAAAAGTTAATTTTTAATTTTTTACTTATTTTAGATTATATTATCATTCATATTTTTTATTTATAGAAGATAAAATAAATTAAAAAAATTAACTTTTTACCGATTCGGAAAACCACCACCAAATGTAAGGTCAAGACACGTGTAACACGGAAGATTCGTTTTGTATGAACAAGACCAATGCGTTTCAAAGCCCATGCCACCTACCAGACCAACACAACTGAGCTTTGGTTGGTGAGGGGGTTATTTGAGTTAGTTATTTAATTTTTGATTATTTTAATTTAATTAAAATAGGTGTATTTGAAAATTAATTAATTTTTTTTATAATTAATTTAATGATTATAAGAAAATTTTTTTATAAATTAAATATATATTTTATAATATTAATTATTTTAACTTATGTTATTTGTTTAGTACGGAAGTCTATTTTAAGCTAACTTTCCTCCCAAACACTTCATAGGTATTTTCCGTAAATTTAACAAAAAAGTAGGGGCAAATAAGTAACCAAACCCTTCGTTGCTCAAACATTTACCTATTTATTGATTGAAAATTGAAATTGTAGGAAATTTATGGCTCTGGCTGGGTTGGTTTCGTATAAAGTCGAAAATCTAAAAAACTTGGCAGCCCAAGAAATTTTTATTCTTATTATTGTAAAATGACATGTGTTTTTGGATTGACACGCTACACAACACAACACAAAAACGTTAGAAAAATCAAGAACAAACCACATACAAACACTTCATATATGAACTCCTTCTAGAGAGAGAACGAGGAGAACGAGGAGAGAGAACATCAATTTCCTGCAAAAGCTTCACATTTTCTTGCCTATATAGAGAGAGAAAGAGAGGAGAGAGAGAATCGTCTTGGTTTGCTTCAGCTGTCTGATTTCTTCTCTGTCTTCGTCGACAATCGTCTCTCACAGCGAAATCTTTCTTCGAATTCGTCGATTTTGAATCTGTAAGTCGATTTTCAGTTTAATCTGTGTGGATCCGAAGTCAACTCTCATTTTTAATGTCGCTTTGTTTCGCTATTTTTTGAATTTCTTGATGCAAATTCATGAATTAGGGTTTCGATTTATGTTCAATGGATTTGAATTCGCATTGATTGTGTTCATTTCGAATCTTGAACTGCATGCAGGTATTGTGGGGAAAAAAAAGAATTTATTTATTTTGGTCTTTTTTTTGGGATTATAGGGTTTTGGGAGGTGAATTGATCAAATGAATGTGGTGGGAAGAGTTGGGAGCTTTATATCACAAGGCGTATACTCTGTTGCTACCCCATTCCATCCCTTTGGTGGGGCAGTTGACATAATTGTTGTTCAGCAGCAGGATGGGACATTCCGAAGTGCGCCTTGGTACGTGCGGTTCGGTAAATTTCAGGGTGTTCTTAAAGGGGCAGAAAAGATAGTTCGGATATCTGTTAATGGCGTCGAGGCCAATTTCAATATGCATCTTGACAATTCGGGTGAGGCGTATTTCGTCAGGGAGGTGGTTTCTGGTGAAGGGAGTAATGCAAGTGCGGTTCTGAATGATTCTGATAGTTTGGTAGTTACACGACAAGATAGTAGTATTAGTGATAATAACAATGTAATTAGTCAAAGGAATAATGGGAATCTTCGTGAGCAAGAGGGTGGTGTTTCTAATGGTGAGGTTCAATTGCAAGATGAACATGTTGCATTGGGTGTCGACCTGAGTGAGATGACCGAATCTGATAGTGAAAGGAGATTCTATGAATTTCCAGATGATCAATCCTCTCTTGATGATTCGGGTGAGTTATCGGAATATGGGTCTAATCGGTATGATAATTTGGACAGTGTGGAACATTTTGTGGAATCACAGAATTTGAATGCAGAAGTGGTTTTGGTGAGCATAGATGGTCACATACTGACAGCACCCATCTCCTCATCGGAAACGAACACTGATATTCTGCAATTAAGCACACCCCAGTTTCATCTGGGCCCAGGCCAAGAGGCTGATTTTGTTGAGGGCAATGTTGACTTCAGCCCAGGTGAAGAGACATGGGCTGCTGATTACTTAGGTGATTTGGGCACTTCTGCACCTGAAGTTGCTTCTGAAAACAGCTGCAGTGTAAGCAATGCTGGTAATGCTGTTGGGCAGCAGATGGAAGTTTGTGAAGGAGACGGGGAGCATCTTTGTCATGTTCAAGAAGTTGAGAATGTCGCACACCAGGAACAAGACCTTTGTGTCAATGGTAATCTGGAAGCTGCTTCAACTGGTATTAGGGGGGGAGACATATTCAAGAGCTGTTTGGAGCTAACAACATTGGCCACACGAGATGGAAATGTCAATCAACAAGATGTGGACTCGCCATTGGAGATTCATGATAATACAGACAATTCACGAGAAAAATCTTCTTGCACTGCCAATGAAACTGGAGATGGAGATGTTGGTGAATCAAGAAATAGGGAGTTAGAAAAATCTCCTCGCAATCTTCTATCTGCTAATGAAACGGGAGATGGAGATGTTGGTGAATCAAGAAATAGGGAGCTAGAAAAATCTCCTTGCAATCTTCGATCTGCCAATGAAACTGGAGATGGAGATGTTGGTGAATCAAGAAATAGCGAGTTTGAAAAATCTCCTTGCAATCTTCGATCTGCCAATGAAACTGGAGATGGAGAAGTTGGTGAATCAAGAAATAGTGGTGAGTTAACTCCCTCTAGTTCTGGTGCTTCTGACAGTGTGATGGGTCCAGATTTAAAGGTTGAAGTGGAACTCATTGAGGATAAAGCAAGTTCAGATCATATGGATTTTGACAACAGTCCTGTTGATTCTGTTAGTCACAATGAAGAGCTAGAGGAACAGGTTGATAATACACTAGCAGTTGAAGGGATACAATGTAGCCCACAAGGATCTGCTCCCGAAGATGAATGCAGTAAAAGTGAGATTGTGGAACCTCAGACAGTAACTTCTGGTGATGAGATCAAAACTGATTCAAGTAAGGGCTGTTAGCTGGCTTTACATATGATTATGGACTCTCTTCTTGTTGCTTGTTCTAAAAAATAATATATCATCTAATTTTGCAGGGCTTGAGATCTCTCTTTGTGGGAACTTACTTCATGCTGGTATGGGTTTGAATGCGGCTGCTGAAGTGTTTGATGCACATCGTATATCTGAGGAGGCATTCAAACTTTCTGCAGCATCAATTACCAAGAATGAAAACTTAGTTGTCAGATTTCATGATAGGTACTTGCCATGGGATAAAGCTGCTCATGTTGTTCTTGGAGTGGCTGCATATGGCTCAGATTTACCTGTTGAGGCCAAAGATGCGATTCTTGTGGAGCACGATGAGACACCAAAAGCTGGAGATGATGGTTCTGTAATCACTTCCACTCCTTCTGGGCGCAGATGGAGGCTGTGGCCCAATCCATTTCGAAGGGTCAAAACACTCGAACACACTACCAGTAATGCTTCTAGTGAGGAGGTATTTGTTGATTCTGAATCTGGCTCACAGAACTTCCCTCCAGTACAAACACCAACATCCAGTAGTGGCGGTGAATCTCCTCACAAGCAACTTTTAAGGACAAATGTCCCCACCACTGAGCAAATAGCATCACTGAACCTGAAGGAAGGACAAAATATGGTGACTTTCAGTTTCTCTACTAGGGTCTTAGGAATGCAACAGGTATACCATTCTTTCTGGTATTAATGCTTGCGTTTTCAAGGTGATAATCTGTTTTATTGGGTTCCCTTCTGTTTCAATTGCTCAGCTACATTCTCGTTCGACAGGTTGATGCTCATATTTACTTGTGGAAGTGGAATGCACGAATTGTAATTTCAGACGTTGATGGGACAATAACCAAGTAAGATTTACTAGGCTGCTAAATTTGTTAGCTATCAACTTATGGGAATATGCTAAATAACATTCTATGTAGCATGGACACAGACATGGGATGGGACAAACATGGACACGTATACAGGGCATGACACTGTACAGAAGACAACACGGCCAGGAAATGGAATATATTAATGTATTAGTGTATCTTTTATGGAAGTCATTCTAGAAAAAATGTTTAATCTAATTTATTATTTATATATTTCCACTTTAATAATGCAAATTGTGGAAGATAAAGCTCCACAGATGGCATGTGTATAATTTAGTTACTTTCTATTACTTTTTTTTTTTAAAGCAAATGCTAACAAGTGCCCCTTATGCATTGTTTAATGTTGGGAAGTATGTAAAAAGTGTCTAGAAAATATGTAAAAATGTTAAAAAGTGTATTGATTTTAATAAAATTGCATGGAATTTAATAAAAAGTGTCATGTGTTCTTCAATTTTTTTGTCTTTTACTTGCACGCTAGGGGCACTTTTTAGCAAGACCCTTTTTTTAAAACTTATTTGTTGTTTTTTCTTTTTTTCATATTTTGAAGTTGTGTATTGCACACTTTGTGTTTTGTCATGCACATGATTATTCATCTTAGAAATGTTTTAAAACACATTGGGGTGAGTAATTTGCTTTACCATGAACATGAAGCTGAAGATAAGGCTTAACAAATAGTAACAAACAATCTGATGTTTATGGTGGTCCTTTTATTTATGCTGGTCTCTAGAGCAGTGGAAGGGCATCTTATGGGACCTATAATATTTTCTAACAAACTGAATGTAGTACATGCTCATAAAACACATCATTGTGTAAAGTTGTTGCAGAACTAATAACCTGAAAAGAAAAGAGCATTTGTAGCAATGGTGTTATGTTTTTCAAACAATGAATAAAGAAGTAAACTCAATCTTGTTACGGCTAAGACAACTTATTAATTAATTCTTGACTTAGCATCTGTTGCACACAGTCCAATAATGATTACAATGATTTGTACATTACCTTCATGCTTGTTTTCCAGGTCTGATGTTCTTGGTCAATTCATGCCTTTGGTTGGAAAGGATTGGACACAATCTGGGGTAGCTCGGCTTTTCTCTGCAATTAAGGTTTGTTTTTCCTATTGCTAATGTTTAAGGTCTAGTATCATCCGCAAGTTAACATTTATAACTGGGATATTATTAGGCTGTGATATTCAGCAAAAGATCCAAGTGGTTTCTATATACCATGGTTTGTCGTCCAATGTGCAGTTGAGCTCAACTAGCTTTAGTTTTTATAATTCCAGAGTGCTTATTAATTGTTGCCTTATGCAAAAACAGGGGGAGATGGGGTGCCTTGCTTTATTTTTGACCACTGATCTTATTTAAATTAGTTTAACCATCTATATATATGTCTCCTGTGCTTTGGAGTTTGGTCTGATTAAATACATTTTATGGCACCCTGTGATTAGATATTTTCTGAACACTATTTTTTTAGTTGCATTTGTTGTGTTTTTATTGAACGCTAGGAATTTCCCCCCCTGAAAATTAGTGTTTAATATTGAACTTCTACTTCAGGAGAATGGGTATCAGCTGCTTTTTTTGAGTGCGCGCGCAATTGTTCAAGCATATCTAACTAGAAGTTTTCTACTCAATCTCAAACAGGTAATAAAATGCCCTCAAATTTGGTATTCTTTTTCGTTCTTCTTATATTAAGGCTATTGAATTATTGAAATTATTAGTTATCGATTAACAGAACCAATCAGTTGGGACTTTCCATGTAGGCTAAATGAGTGATGGTTGAAAATTAGTAGTTTAATATTGTGTGTGGCCTTTAGCCTTTAGCTTTCATGTTAACTGTAGGACCTAATGCTTCACGTGGATGAATATTTACATGCCATGTTTCACATCTGGTTCCCTAAATATGATAGACTATTTCCACGAGTGCATTTGGTCTCTACTCTTGCCGTTTTCTGTCTTGCCTGTCTTGACGGTTTTGCTACCATGCCAAAAGAACTTTATAAGATGAACTTTTGTAACTTTATTAATGATTGCAGGATGGAAAAGCTTTACCCAATGGACCTGTTGTTATTTCACCTGATGGTCTATTTCCCTCATTGTACCGAGAAGGTGAGCTCCTATTCCTGGAATAATTATTTGTTGCCTCTAATCTGTAATGAACTGCTTTAAACTGTAATAGATGATACAGAACAGCTTTATGCTTTTTGGGAACTTTATTTACTTATTTTTTTGATGATGATGGCCATGGATATCTTTTGTTTCAGCTTGCTATGAATGCATATTGAAAAAAAATAGTGATGCTCAGTGAGAGACATGTATGTTAAGATGTACAGATCCACTTATAATACAACAAAATTGTCTCACCTCTTTGAATTGATTTTGAAACTTTTGCAGCGTATGCACTGCACCTACCACTGTTGAATTGTTTTCATGTAGGCACTTGAAATGTGGACTGATTGTGTGCAATTGTGCATCAGTCTCTGCATCTAGAAGATCCTCAAGATTGTTTTCTTTTAATTTCTTTTTTCTTCTAGTTTCTTGTAAAAGACAATAAGATTATATTGTGGGTTTATCTTGTAATGTTATTATCCCATACTGACTTTTGTCTTTGTCATTTGTTGTTGAATCACTGACCCCTAAATTGGAAATTAGTCACTTTTTTTTTTTGGTTCTCCTCGAAGGTAGTCCATGTTCGCATGCTTGTTTGATAAGGCTCCCTGCCTTCTTTCAATAAGAAACTGACTTTTAAGTTAATTTCTGATCTAATGCCCTACTTTTGATCTTGTTGTGACAGTGATAAGGAGAGCACCTCACGAGTTCAAGATCGCGTGTTTAGAGGTAATTCTTCTAGGCCAAATCATTTGAGTTGACATAGAACGGAACCGTCTCATAACCAGTTAAACTACTGTTTGCAACGATCTGCTCAACTTTTTCAGCTGAAAGTAAATGTGTCGTGCAGGATATTAAAGCACTCTTCCCTACTGATTACAATCCATTCTATGCGGGTTTTGGGAATCGAGACACTGATGAACTCAGTTACAGGAAAATTGGGATCCCAAAGGGCAAAATCTTTATCATTAATCCAAAGGTATTTGTTTGTCTTCTGTCAATTTGTTCCACCGATACCCATCTGGGTGCATAAACTTTCTCTCTCCTTTTTTTCTTGGTCTTCTGATTAGTTCCGTGTAAACTAACAGGGCGAGGTAGCCATCAGTCATCGCATTGATGTGAAGTCATACACCTCTTTACACACACTGGTCAATGACATGTTCCCACCAACTTCAATGGTTGAGCAGGTAAAAAGTTTGCCGATTGCATATTCCTCATTTCAAACTGAAATGGAAAACATATGTTGAAAGAAAACATAAACATAAACATAAAATAAATGAAGTACATGGCCAAACAGATCATCATTTTTCACTAATGATTCTCATTATTTTTTTTCACTACTAGCAAATCTGATTCTCATTCTATCGTCTAACGTCTCATTAACATTCTGGTAATTAATATCTATGCAGGAAGATTTCAACTCATGGAATTACTGGAAAATGCCGATTGCAGACCTTGAATGAAAGTTCATAGTAATTGTTTTGTGGCTTTTTGCAGACAAGATGTACACTGCCATGGTGTCTTACAGAGATGCATTCACAACCAAGATAACTCCAATTAATTCCCAAAATTCATCCTAGAAATGAGGCTAAGATGCTCCTTCTTATTTATTAGCACTGATGTAAAATTGTATACAATTGATCTTTTGTACTCATAAAGGACCATACAGCTTCCTTTAGTGAATAAAAGGTTTTAGGGCAAGTCGAAGATTTCTCTTTATTTTTGGGTCACAGGATAAGATGTTAGTAGATTACTATAGCAGGTCGATATCACTCTATTGACTCGAATCTAAGTGGGCACTCACTTGAGGTGGGCCTGAGTATCCCTCCTGACCACTTGGGCTAAAGCTCGGGTCGCTCTCCTCTTTTCCTCCCTATTAGGCTATGTTTAGAATTTGGATTTGTCAAGGCAGTATGAAAGGAAGGGGAAAAGAAAATGAAAGAAGTTAAATTTGTTTTCTTGTTTTTGTTTTGAAAATATCTACGTGTACTAATTATGTTTTATTTATTTTTGTTTTTTTATTGGAAAAGGAAAATAAAAACGTGCTGTCGTTTTCTATTGGCAAAAAATAAAAATTGACAAATGTTACCAAGTATAACTTAAATTTATTGATTGTTTGGTTAGAAAGAAAAACAAGAAAATTGATATGCTTTTCTCAAAAAATTGTGTATTGTTTGGTTATGTAGAGAAATAAATAAACATAATTAATTCATCTTTCCTGTCATTTTTTGATCAAAACTATGAGAGTGAAGAAAAGTAAGTTGTTTATTTTATATTTTATGTTTTATTGGCAAGAAGAAAAAATGATATCTTTTATTTTTTATATTTTTTATGGGGGATTATTTTGATAAATCAATGATCGAGGGAAAACAAAACAAAAAAAGAAAAGAAAAAACTAATTTCCACCATATTTTCTTTCTTCTTTCAAGCTAATATTTTTTGTAGAAGAAAAAAACTTTTTCCCGTCATATTTTCTTAGCTCCTTCAAAATTTATTTCAAAAAAGTTTGATTCGCGTATTTTACTCAAACTTGAAAGCACAAATTATTATTTTTTTGTTTCTTTTTAAAATGGTCAGAAATTAAGAAAGAAAAAACTAACATTTGTAAAACAATTGTTTTCTTGTATGGATTTAATTATGATGAAGATTTTACAAGAAGATAAGAATTCTAATTATAAATAATTACTTTTATAATAAATTAATTATATATATTTTTTTGCAAGAAACTAGAAGTGTAGTTATCAACTGTAAAACAAAATTAATTTTTTTTTAATATAACTTTCAACATTTTCAATGTTAAGTAAACTCAGGAAAAATTATTATTATTATTATCATTATTTTTTCTCACTTTCTACTATTTTCATTATAACAAAAGAAATTATCTTCTCTTCATATGCTTTCCCTGTAATTTTTTTTGGGATAATTACTAGTCAGGTGTGTTTTTAAAAATAATTTCAAATAAGTGATAAAAAATAATTAAATTCATAAGTTTTGTCATGAATTTGTAATTATAACCATTGTGCTGTAATTTTTCCCTTTTTTTTTTTTTCTTTTTCTTTCTTAGGAATCAAACAAGGAAAAGGTGATTTGTTATTCCTTTTCCATCAAAAAAAAATGGGCAAACCAAACGGAGTGTAATTCCCGCGCAATCAGTTCCCAAGGGCAATATGGTAAAACTAGCAAATCAAAAAAAGCGAAATGAACGGCGACAGACTCGTAACGAACGTTCACTGGGTATACGAAACCGTTGACCCCCTCCCTCCACCCCCGCCATTTCCACTCTCTCTCTCTCTCTCTCTCTCTCTCTCTCTCTCTCAATTCCATCAACATCACCTCATACATACATTTCTCTGATTCAAACAACACAATCAACCTGTATATACATTATATATACATCTCTCTCTCTCTCTCTCTCTACATATATATATCATATTTATCTCTCTAGAATTTGGGGTGAAGGAGAGAGAAGGAGGAGGAGGAGGTGGTGGTGGTATGTCGTGGCTAAGGTCCGCAGTGCACAGAGCTGTCGAAGTTGGCGGCAACAACAATCTCACTCGCACCGTCCGTAACTATGCCGATTCGGTCGTTCAACATGCCGGTCAAGCCGTCGCCGAGGGCGCTAAGATTTTACAAGATCGCATTGTATTCTCTCTCTCTCTCTACAATTCAAATAATTATCTTGTGCCTTTGACTTTTTAATTTATACTCTGTTTTGATTACAATTTGATTGACCAGTATTGCTAAACATTTCTGAAAAGATAAGTGAAATTGTTTCATGATCTGCATAAATTGACCAGAATGTAGCTATTTATGAAACAATTTTTATGAATATCTAATAGGGATACTTTATATTGGTTTTATGAATGTGTATCTATAGATGTGTATGCATGTTATTATTTATGTGATTCGACATTGGTATCAAAATAGTTTGCCCTAATAAAAAAAACCTAAAATCCAAAAACTGATGGTTTAAGTCTCTGCTCAAGCTTGTATATTTAGAGCTCTTTGACCCAATTTTTAAGCTGTTGCTACAATTTCTTTTGAGTTTAAAACTTTAAAGATATAACCTAGTTATGGAGTTTCAATGGGCTGGGGAATAGCTTAAAAACAATATAATTTGATTTATATTATGAATGTAAAAGAACGAAAAGAAATGAAGCTTTTATTTTTTGGGGGAATTTCAATTCTGTGTAAGCTTTTAAAAAAAATGACAGATAAGTGGAAAACTATATACACATTAATAATTAAAGTCAAACTTTTTTATGATTTTGTAATAAATTTTTTGAGGGTCCATTTGTTTTCAGAGGTAGAATGGAGGGAATTGTTAGTGAGTGGATTGTTAGTGAGGAGGGGATTGATAGTGAGGGGATTAGTAAAATTGTGTTTGTTTTGATGATAGTTGTTATTATAAGAATTGTTAAATTAAATAAATAGAAAATAGTAAAACAATTAAATTATGATTTTTACTTAACAAAAAAAACAAAATCATTAAACATTAATGTTGGAAAAAAATGCCCAACATGTAAAAAAAAAAAAAAAAAAAAAAAACTTGCAGTTGACCAGTTGACCGGCCAGTTGTCTGGCCGGAAGTCCTTGCGGACGACCGGTAACACCTTAAGCCGAACGGACTATTTTCTAATACCATCTCCCAACCTAGACTGCTAATACCCTCGCCCAAGGCCTTTCATTCCAGAGCCCCATAAACCAAACAAACATGATTTGTGTTCACTGTTCATCACTAGGAATCTGGAATTGATAGTGAGGGGATTAGTAAAATTGTGTTTATTTTGATGATAGTTGTTATTATAGGAATTGTTAAATTAAATAAATAGAAAATAATAAAGCAAATTAAATTATGATTTTTACTTAACAAAAAAAACAAAATCATTAAACATTAATGTTGGAAAAAAATGCCCAACATGTAAAAAAAAAAAAAAAAAAAAAAAAAACTTGCAGTTGACCAGTTGACCGGCCAGTTGTCTGGCTGGAAGTCCTTGCGGACGACCGGTAACACCTTAAGCTGAACGGACTATTTTCTAATACCATCTCCCAACCTAGACTGCTAATACCCTCACCCAAGGCCTTTCATTCCAGAGTCCCATAAACCAAACAAACATGATTTATGTTCACTGTTCATCACTAGGAGTCTGGAGTGGATTGCTACAACGGAAAAGAAACAGGGCCTGATAGTACAACTGATAAGTAATTTCCCCTATTTTTTTAAACCTTCATTAAGTAGAATTTAAAAAAAATGAATGAAAATGTAACTTGCAGGTGGATAGTCTAGCAAAACCACTAAACCTGAGTGGCATACTGTCTGAAAACTCATGAACAACTAATCAAAAGATTCAAAATTCAAAACTAGACAAACAGACCCTTATGGGAAATAGTACAAAACAGCAAAAGCCTATGACATATAAACTGCAACATATAATAATAAGATAAATCTTAGATTAATAGATTCAACTAAAAGCATTGGGATCCTGTTATATAAATCATCAATTTTGTTTGGTTGTAGATCATATCAGATACTTGCATTTTGCATCTTTCATATTGGGTTGCTTATTTAGTACCATTGTTTTGACAAAAACTGCATGCCATTGCAGTCATCTCGGAGTCTCAAAAGCTTGAAGCAAGCCGTCAAGAGATTGGAAGAACTTTCCGTTTCTTGCAGAGGGATAGAAAGAGTTCAGTTACTAAGAAGGTGGCTGGTTGCACTTAAAGAGGTTGAAAGAATATCTGGAGATTCTGCTGAGATTAGTGGAAAGAACTCTGAGCAGCTTCCTATATCTGATGAATCAAAGGATTCTCCGAGAAAGCCTACTTTGGTGAGTAAGTGACTAATTTACTTCTGTTTCACATTCTTACACTTTTAAACTAATATATTATTATTAAGCATACTGCATCTTATGAAGTTATGACACACTTTGTCAGCATCAGCAAGCACATAATACTATAAATTCTGTCAACTTTTATCAAAAGCGTGAGTGCCTCAGATAATTTGAAAATTCTACTTAAGCTGTAGTTCAATCTGTGTATTGATGGTAGAAGTTACATAACTATGGCTGTCTTTATTTTATACTAGAGACAGGCTCCTTACCTCAGTGTATAAATGCCAAAAATGGCTTGGCTTTTCTTTCTGTCATTTTCTACATGCTTAATAACAGTTCCTAGTGCTTATCAAACTTGAAAATTATTCTATACTATTTTTTTCTTCTTCTTCTGTTTGAGTAGCTTTTTGTGTCTTTATTTATCCGTTGACAGGTTTTGTATTATGACCCTGATCTTGGGGGAGAACCCATGAATTTCTTTGATGTCTTTCTTCACAGTGAAGCTCTTGAAGGCATGACATTGTCTATGGTAAGTTCAAAAAATATCAATGGTTTCTATAAGCTGCTCCATCTTCCGATGTTTGTCCTGGTAAACTAACAGCCATAATTTGGTATTACTCAAAGGTCACACTTCTCTCTTTCTCTCTCTAGCTTACTCAACTTTGTTCACAAACTCAGATAATTTAAAATATTGTCAGATGTAGTTTATTTACATTGCCCTGATTCCATAGATTCTTATGGCTTTGTATGAAAGCTGCAACCAGGATCAAAACTCTAGCCTATAAAATGTAAGGGCTTATAGCAAGGCCAACCTTTTGGTAAATTCTTCAACTTAATACTGTAGCAATATGCTACTGAAACAACATTGATCATGCTACTCGTAAAAATAAAATAAAATAAAACTGTCAAGTGGGTAACTGATTGAGTGGAACATCTGTTTGGTGAGATTGAAGTACAGCTTATTAGATGACATACTTACAGGCTTTTGACTGCTGAAGTGATATGAAGAAAGTTACCCTTTTTAGCTGAGATTTCTCTTCTCCAGATGTCTTTATTTGAGAAGCTTGATTAACTGGATTTCAGCCTTGGAAGCACCTTGAAAGAGGACTTTGTGGTATCTTAAAGTTCCATGTCATTGTGCTCTTTTTTGCTTGCTTGTTATAGTGAGAAGATTTTCTTTAAGATACAAAAGAAGAATTGGAATTTAAAGCCTTCGAGTGATCTATGTGGTATCGTATTACTCAATTCTAGATTTGTAACAGTATGATAATTTTTCTTCTTATGATCTATATGAAATAAAGTGTGTCTGGGTCAAACACTGACATTCTTGGACAGTTTTCAACACGTGTTTGACATCTTGTGGACGACTCTATACATTAAAATTAAATTTAGAATTTTGGATGCTTGGACACTTGGCGACATATGACCAAGAAATTTGGGGTGTTTGGGTATGGCTTTTGTTTAGTATATAACAAAGCCTATAATCATAAATAAAAAAAATCAAATTAAGGAATTATTTAAATTTTACCATAATTAAGACACAATTAACTTGCATGAATTTTTAACATGGGAATGATCATAATTATGCGAGTACCTATATATGTTACACTTAAATGTTTCTACATATGGAAGCATATGTTTAGTGTTCCTTGCCATTTATGTTTTTGGGTAATATAGTTGATTATTCCTTATTATGAGTCATAAATTGCAAATTACATGTTACAACCATAGAATATTTGTTTTACGTAATGTTATTTTTTTTCTGCAGTCTTCTCCTACCTTTTCTGGTAGAATCTTGATTTGTCTTGATATCCAATCTATACAGTTTACTGTATTCTTTTTCATGCATAGTAGCATGTTTACAACATTTCATTTTTCTTTTGTTTAGTGTCTTTTGATCTTTATATTGTTAGGGTTATTTATTCCAATATGTGATAGAATTGTGACAAAATATGCTACACATGATGTATTGTTGTATTTGTGGCAAACATAAAAAGTTAGATTTAAATCATTACTGTAATTGCATGGTATGCATTGATTGTTTTATTTTAGATGCATTGGGCTTGCATTATTGTATTTCCACTCTCCAGTGAAAAGGCCACAGCCATTTAAAGTAATATATACACTCAATGGCATTATAGTAGACCATAAACATTACTTCTTAGAAAGGAACTTCAACTGCTTTGTATGCTTTCATCAGTAAACGAGATTTTCCTGCAAATTATATTGTACCAGAGAGCTGTGGCATATGATGTAGAGCATCATCTCCCTACCTTCCTCTTTAATTCAATGTGATATTTGCTAGTTAAACATAAATGTGGTTTTGTACTTGCTGATCCATGGAGGTTAACCGCAGGTTAACTCTTTTGTCTGACTCAGATTCTTGAAGAACCAAATGAGGAGGAAGTTTCTCTACTTCTAGAGATATTTGGGTAATTCTTCTCACTCTCATGATTTTTTACCAATTGCTTTATAAAGGCTCAACTAATTACTTGGGATTATACGATGAGTTAGTTATGAGAAAAATGAACGTTGCTTATAAGGGTTATCTAATAAGCACATACACTTCTAAGAATTTCATGTGTCCTGTTTGACACCGTGATTAACACCGACTTGACACAACTCTCATCGGTACTTCCCAACACTTAGACATACATAACATACTACGAATTTGAATAAAATAACTTGAAATCTACTAATAAAACAAAAGCAATGTAAATTTATATCCATGCTCCTCCTTCATATTTTAAAAATTATTATCTTTGAGTTAAATATTTACACATATGACATATAATAATTATTTATCCATATATATGATATATAATAAATATATAAAATTATAAATTTTGCACATGTCCTCTCTTACATTTTTTGAAAATATCCATGTCGGTGTGTTTATTTCATATCTGTGTCATGTCACCTATCCATGCCCGTGCTTCTTAGAGGGTTGTCTACCCTCCTCCTGAATGGGTAAAAAGTTATTGATGGAATTTTAGGCAAAATATGTTCCTAATATGGTTGTATTTAGGCTTTGTTTCATAGGAGGAAAGGAAGTTCATAAAACAACAATGTGCTGCATACAAAATTTGGCAAAAGCTTTCTCAAGCTATGAGGAGGAAGTACTGGTACAGACGACATGCACATCCGTCCATTTAGAAGCATCTATATAGTTTACAGTATTTTTTCAGGCCAAAACTTATGAGTTTATTGACCTTTGGCCCCTGACCCTTTGTTTTTATTTCAGGTTAAGCGGGAAGAACTGCTTCAATATGCTCAAGGTGCTATTGCAGGGCTGAAACTAAATGCTGATATTGCAAGGTTGTTAAGGAACATTTATTTTGTCTGTTGCATGAGTTCGGTGTTGAAGTGTCATTGTTTTTCCTTTTACAATGAAGTTCACATATATTTGTCTTGGATTCAATATGTAAGTGTGAACGTGCATGTGCCCATATCTATTGAGGTGTGTTCCTAACTTCCTATGTCTACCGAGGGGGCAGTTCTCCCGTATGCTTTGACTATACTAATCCTGTCCTTGTAATTCATTACTTAATAGTTTTTTTTGTACTAATTGAAATGTTGAATTTTTTGAGTTTTAGCTCAGGTTTAAGTTTTCTTTTTGATACATTAGATTTTTTTTTGCAGCCATGTGCATGCACATTATTATCGTGCAAGTGTTAAAACTAAAATTGTAATTCTTTTCGTTCCCTTGTTTTGTGATCTGCTCTCAGAATAGATTTTGAAGTCTCCGACATACATAAAATTCTAGATGGAGAGAAGCCCCAAAAGCCCTCAACTGAAGAAACAACTGTTGCACCAGTAGAGGTGAGATTGATTGAATACTCACACACGTCTAATAGTGAGATTACATATCTGGGCCAATTACTGATTTGAAAAAGCCTTTGGAATGATTGTAATGTTTTTGGATTTTAATCTTTCAATACTACAAGCGACACTTGAAATTGTTATTCTATTGAAATAAAATCAACATGTGTTGTTCTTTTATTTAATAGAAAAGTTACTAGAGTTCTATTGTTGATCATTAGGTTCATTTTGAATGAGTTTTAGGATTACTAAGTTTATGTTTGTGTGTGTATATATTATACACGTCTTTTGAATTACTGAAAATGGTAAAACTCATAAAACCAAATGGATTTTTTGTTTTTCCTGTAGGCTTTGAAAGAAGCCTTTGAACAAGTTCAACTGTGTTCCAGGCTGGAGGAACTTTTACTAAAGAAGAAACTCTTAAAGAACGGGGATTCTCCAGACATTCATGCAAAAAAGGTATGGTTTTCCTCTTGAAGACTGTTTGGGTTCCACAAGTAAGCCTGCCTCTCTTAAGAAATGTGGTTTGTCTTGTTGAGGTAAGCATCCCATCTGCCAGGCATGTGTGATTTGGACATTGTGTTATCTTTTCATAAATTCCATCCCAAGGTATTAGCCCATATGGCAATCTCTCTTCCACATAGTCACTGTGGGTTAAACCCCAAAGACCTCCCACCCCCTAACAAAATAAAAAAGGAGAAAAAAAAGGATGCTTAAACCTCTCAACTCCTCAGGACCAAACGTTTGATACAAATGGGCTAGATGGTCTGTGGCCATACTGTTTTCTGTTTAAAAAAAATAAATAAATAAAATTTGAAGGGCCAATACATTAACTTTCCAAGTTAAGGACTGCATTTAAAAAAGTACAATGTGATAAGGCAGTATAGTTTATACGCAAATGATAATATTGTCTATTCTTAGAGTTGATTGTGCAGTTGGGCAATGATTAGATTTGTTTCTATTCTATGCTTATTTAAAAACCGACTTCATCATTTCTCATTTTCACTGTGATTAATATGCAGGTTGATAAATTAAAAATTTTATCAGAATCGCTTGCTAACTCTGCTTCAAAAGCTGAAAAGCGTATTTCAGACCACAGGTTATTAGCTATGCCTGTCTTTATTTGTTTTTGTATAGTGGTGCACCTCTTCCAAGAATGTGTACCACACCTCGAAATAGTTCTTTCTTCCTTGACATACGAAAAGAAAGAGCTGGGAGGTAGATTACTTTGTGGCCTTATTAGCTACATGCCTACAGAGATTTATCTGAAAGATGCATTTACATTTTTCAAGGCTATTAGACATGTTCTTCAATTAGTGCAATTTTTTACAACTCTAAGAAACAAAAAATAGGAATCTAAATTCATCAGGGATAGCTTGGAGGTTTTTAATGCTTGGACGATGATGTTTAAGATATTTTCTGTGGACTATAGGAAGTAACAGTTTAGTGATTACCATTTGATTGGATTTTGTTATTACAGAGATTAGGTTTACTTTTATTAAAATTTTCCACTGACTAACTGACGACCTATTTAGAAGCTGCACATATTTTTCTGACATCTAATTTTATTGGCTGATGTTATGGATCACAATCATCTAATTCCCTCCTTTCCCCCGAAGAAGATGAAAAAAGAAAAGAAAAGAAAAGAAAGGAGAAGAAAAAGATAATTAACTAAATAAATGGAAATATGTAGTATATAAATAAAGTGAGTGTTGAAGCAGATACAGGCAATGCTTGCGGACCTTATTCACACAGTGTTCCTGTGTAAATGATGGGGGACTATTCATTTTGCACACCAGATGGGTTTTGATTGATTGAGATCAAGCTATAAAATGGAAATGTGGTTAGGGTCAATTTGTTTCATAGCATTATAGCATAGTTTCAATTTGTCAGACCAAAAAATAAAATTCTGTTTTTCAATTGTTAATGTGGTCGATGAGGGGTTTGACAATAAGTTACAATCATAAAAGCTGCTCAAATTCAAAATCTGGAACACATTTGTCAAATTTGCTGCATATGTTATATGTTTGAAGGGTTTGTTCACCCTACTGTTCAATGGCCATTGTGTATTTCTTGAAGTGTAAAGCAGAAACAATTCTTTAATACATTTTTTTTTTTTTTGGGTGATAAATTTATAATACTTTTTGAAGTAAATATCCAATTGACTGGTTCTTTAGAATACTTGTCTTCAATTCGATATTATTTCCTAATGAAGTGGACTTGATTAGTGTCCAATTTTCAAAAAGGTGGACTTTTGTCTATACCTGACAGATTAATATTTCTTTCCTTGTTTACTGTCTTGTATTTCCTAAGTACGAATATTAGGATAAAATATTTCTTGTTTTTTCTCCATTTGTAAGCAGATTACAGAAAGAAGAAGCCCTTAATTTTCGTGTAACCAGAACCAGTGAAGTCAGCCAAATCGAAAAGGTAAACCTCCATGCAAAAATAACACCATTTTCTTGATAAAAAATCTATCAAACTACCCCGTGGAATTAGTCAACTTAGGCATTGTTTGGGAGAGGATTATCAAATTGGATGATTTTAAATGTTATGATTACATTTTTTGACATGTGTTTTAAACTAGCTCTTCTTAACATCAAGGGCAGAACCAAATTTCTTTCTGTTGCATAAGGTGTTTTACATATATGACTAACTTTTGCCACAACTTTTTCTCTTTTCTTTCTGAGTATCCATTTTCTCCCCTTGTTTACTATAATGTCGGTTTGACTTAAATGAAATGATTGTTAGATTGGGTTTTGCCTTTCTGAAGTTTTCAATTTTTTTTTTTCATCTGCCCATGTTGTTTGCTTATCCTGATGTGCAGATCCTGCATAGCTACACTTCAATATTCTTTTCAGGGTAACATTGTTTCTGTATGTTAATATTGTTGACGTTCTTCAAAAATATTCGCATGATTCCTGACCATTTTCTTGTAAACTGTGACTGAAATAAGCAGTATTCTACGGCTTGGTAAGGTTTGTTTGTTTGTTTGTTTGTTGTTGTTGTCGTTGTTTTTTTTTTTTTTGCTGACCCTGACCCTGATTGGTCACCGCCCCGCTTCATGCATGATGTTATTACTCCACCCACCCAGTTACAGCCTTGTTAGAATTTCCCATCTTTACCTTCACCTACTCCACTACACACTCCACTTCACCTACCTCCACTTCACTACACACTCCACTTCACCTAACCCACTATCACCTCCACTACACCTACTACCACATTTTCTTCTATATATAGATTGTATAGGAATCTTGTATCAATATATCAATCAATAATACATACAATTTATTCTCTCTCTCTTTCTCTATACATTATTTCTTACAATAAGCCATACTCTTTAGCCTCATGAGGTTTCACATTTATGCACTAGTTGGTTGAATCTAATTGATAAATAAGATCATAAATTTTCGTTTTAATATATTTGCATCTGGGTATGTTACAATTGTCTTATCTATTTTATTCATGAGGATTTTCAAATGCCTGAAGTATCACAGCCTTTTCCAGGAATTGATGGGCGAGATTGGAACACTTGAAAAGCAAAGAGATGAACTTGAAGATGAATTGAAAAAGGTGCTTTCCTGGTGGTCCCCCATCACCTGAAAAACCCCATTATTGCAATTGCAGAATTCTCTTCATTAAATGTTTACTCAAGTTTTCAGTTCTACCTATTTTTTCATTTGTGTCGCATGCATAATGTTGTACACTTGTACCTGGCCTTGTGTACATAGGTTGATCACTAATTTAGTTTTTCCCTGCTAGATATCTGAACACTTCAGTATATGTGGCATTACCTGCATATAATATGACACAGCAGGGGTATAGATATCTGATACTTGTCTTTACATGTTTTAGTTAAAGATAAAACATGAAGTGAAATTGATCATGGTAAAAAATGTTGCTACCATTTTAGTTTCCTGAATCCTGATAAATTTATTTCAACAGCAAAATGAGCGAAATGAACACTTCAGTAGGGGTATAGATATCTGAACACTTCAGTATATGCGGCATTACCTGCATATAATATGACACAGCAAGGTTATAGATATCTGATATGTTTCTTTACATGTTTAAGTTAAAGATAAAACATGAAGTGAAATTGATCATGGTAAAAAATGTTGCTACCATTTTAGTTTTCTGAATCCTGATAAATTTCTTTCAACAGCAAAATGAGCGAAATTTTTGCTTGGCCTCTTGAAGAAGTGTAACTAGTTCAAGGAAGAAAATGGAGATAAATGAATTTTCCATTCCATTTCCATTAGGAATGGAGTTAACCGCTGACATTTAGGAAGATAACATACGTTTTTTGGCCTCTTGCCTTCCCCAGACCATGCTTAAGCAGGAGCCTCAAGCATTGGGTCACCTTTCTTTTTTTAATAATCTCAGTCAATGCCATTTCATAATAATTGCAACTATCGTTGTGTACTTTGTACTTGCATCAACAATATGTAGTGCTTCATCAGGTTTCGCAAAGGATACTAAGTTTATGCATTTCTATAAAATGAAGTGTTTGGTGTCCTTTGACTTCACAGAAATGTAGTAAATGATGTATTCAAAACTTAAAAATTGAAACCGTGACTTCCATTCTATAGTCAGATCATTTTTGGTCATTAACATCTCCATGGTGACTAACCATAAGACATCTTATGAGAATGAATGGTTGCCATAGGTCAAAACCTCATTAGCTTCTGCCCGAGCACGTCTTCATAATGCCAGGGAAGAAAGAGAGCAGTTTGATGAAGCAAGTAACCAGATTCTTGAACATTTCAAGACAAAGGTATTATGGTGTTTGCACTTACTATATATACAATTTAAAACCAATTGAGAATCATTTTCTAGCATGCTTTACGGTTTACACCATTATATCAAAGCACACAGTTGGAAACTTTCAATCACTGATACCAGAATTTTATTTTATTTTCACAATTTGAAACGGTAGGAAGACGAACTGTCAAGATCTATTGCGTGTTATAAAGAGGAAGCAGATGTTTGCAATGCATTTGTTAATTTTCTGGAAGATACCTATGTGTTCCAGTCCAAACACACGGAACAAAAGGAGAAGCTGATCAAGTAAGGACTACTTTGTCACTCTTCAATTATCAGAGAATTGTTTCAATAATAGAACAGAAATTGTGTGTTTTTCACGTTCATGTTTTATTTGCCCCATTGTTCAGTTACAAGTAGCTCATGAATATTTTATCTTTAACATATTTGTTTGGTTTTGTTTACAATGTACAAGTGATGAATTGGCGAGACACGGAGACTATTTTGTGAACTTAGCTATTTGTCTTTTATCTGCTTACAAGGTATTTATTCACTCACAGCCATCTACATTAATGAACTCTTGTCACCTAGGCTTGCCACATAATGCTATGATGCATTTTAATTCTCATATTTATGTAAATATATGTGTGTGTGTATATATATTTTATGTTTCCATCTTGTTTTCCTATCAGGAAGGATTGGGACCTTCTATCACCACTTTTAGGAAACTTGTGGAAAACTTGAATTCAATTGGAAGGTATTCATAATTTAACTTTAAAATCACAATCTCAAGTTGATTTGCACTAATAATTATTAGCCTGCACCAGGTCAGACTTAGCAGCTTGTAAAGATGATGAAAATTCCCATGCAATAAACCCAAGAAGAAATCTTGAAGAAGATTATCTTGATTTTGAAACCAAGGTATGGATGTCTTTCATTTTTAACATTTTTTTGTTGTTATCTCTAAGGTTGTGTATGGATCTTGGGTTTGAGGAGGGAAATGAAAAAGCAAGGGGAAAGTGAAAAATATCTTCTCAAATCCAAGATCCAAACACAGCCTAAGAATAATCAATTGGTAGTGATAATCATTCTTAATACTTCTCATCTGTTGCACTTCATGTAGGTCCATTATAAGGGCCCTTTAAATCTGAAAAGTTTCTTTTAGAAATAAGTGGTCTGTTTGATTGTGTTTCCATTTTCTGTTTTCATTTCTTGCTTTCGTTTTTCATATTTTTGGAAATAAAAAAATGAAAAAAACAATCATCATTTTCATATCGTTTTCATTTTTGCGTGAAAACAGTTTTTGAAAATCAAAGTAAGCTTTCTGATCTTTCCTAAAAAGTGACTTTGCTGAACATTTTCACGAAAATAATTTTCAGATACAGTTTGCCGAACAATTTTTCTGTGTTTTTTAAAAAAGATGAAAACAATACCAAACAGGCAAAAACTTTGTGGATGAGTTCTAAAGGTCTCTACAGAAGTTTGTCATCTATCTACTTAAACTTTAAAGATATCATTCTTTGCATTTCTTGTCTCATTTTCAGTTTATATCCACATTCAGTGTAGTGGAAAGCATAAAAAAGCAGTTCTCCTCTCAAAACGAAGCGATTTTCAGGTGAGTTGATCCTGGAAGCTGTTAGGGTTCATTTCCTGTTTCCACTTTCATGTTTTTTTGCCCCTACTAGCCTTTGGCAACATGTGGTTCACCCTTTAAAGTGGGAGCATGGTAACTTGTGATCAGGCATGGTGATCATAGGGTCAGAGAGTTATTTGATGATCTTGATGAAATCAAAGACGAATTTGAATCCATTGAGAGACCGATATTGGAAATTGAAAGTCCAACCCGAAAAGCAGAGGCAGAATCTAAGGAGAGGTCTCAAGTTGAATCCACTGAGAGATCCGAGACTCCAACTCAAAGAGCAGAGACACCATCAAAGTCCATTGAGAGATCAAAGATGGTTATTGAGACTCAATCAAAAGAAAGTCCCAAGAAAAGTGCATCTCCTACTCATAAACAGTCCCCAAATGACAAAATTGAATCCATGGAGAGACCAAAGTTGGAAACTGAGACACCAACACGAACAATAGAGACACCATCAAAAGAAACAGGCACTGAAAGTCCATCTCCCACCGACAAACAGAAGACTGAGACATTGGACTGCAAACACAATGAAATGTCTAAAGAAAAGGCATCGGATAGCAAAGAACAGTCAACGGAGGAGATTGGTGGATGGGAATTCGATGAACTTGAGAAGGAACTCGAAAGCAGTGACAAGTCAAGAAAATAGCCCGTACTTGCCTCTCTGGTTTTCAGACTCTCAATAACACAACAGCTTGTTAATGACCTACATTTTTTTTAACAGAATTTTTACTCTTTAAGATTATTTGTTATAGCTATGATCATCATCTAGTAACTACACAAACATGAACTTTTGAAAGGTGGTAGGGATTAGACTTTATATGAATTGTATGATGTAATATGGACTCAATGGAACATGAGTTGTTCTAGGTTGTTTTTCTTTTCTTTTTTTGAAGGGTTTGTCTGTAATTCAATTTGAAGGAAAATCCAACTTTGCTCAAGAAACTCATAGAATGCCCTAAAAATTGGTTTCGAGGGTTATGAACATTGTATACACTTTGTGCTCTCTTCTCTTGAAAGGAAAAATCAAAGTCTTCCATGCTTTTAGGACTGTAATAACAATGTGATATATTTATGAGAGACAGTTCCTTTTAATGGAACTTAAGTGAGTCTATTGCAATGGTATTCCCCACTTTGAAGAATGCCAGTGGTGTTGGGGGGCCACATGAGAAAAGTTACCATGTGCCCTGGTACATAACTGTCACTGTTGATACAGTTGTGTGCCATGTGATCATAGCAACTCTGCTATTTGCACAAAACTAAATAAATAAAATTCTACAGATGAGAAATAAGTAGGTTGCAAATGAATAGAGCCGTTCGTGAACATGTTTGATATCAGCTCAGTAAGAACTCGCTTGAACTCGATTCGTTAATTTTTTTTTGCATTCGAGCTTGAGCTTGAGCTCGAGCTCATTAAATTTTTAATAAATAAGCCCAAACATTCTAAAGCTCAACTTGTAAGCTCGGCTCGTTTAATATTTATTATTTATATATTACATAATGTAAAAACATGTATAAAAAATAAGATAAATATGTTATTTATATATTTAAAAAATATAAATGTAAATAATAGTTAACTATAGATGGTACCTTTATATAATAGTGGTAGTAGATATTATTATTTTGATAAAATATTGACTTTTTTTTTTAGAATATTATATATATTATATATATTGTATATATAATTGTTTAGTTAAAGTTTTAATTGTAACTTTAATCTCATATGCAAGTATAAATTTATAATTTTTTTGGCTCGGTAAGGTTCACGAACAGGCTCGAGCTCGAGTCAAGCCTAAGTCAACTCGGCTTGAGCTCGATTCGTTAAACTTTTATTGAGTTCGAGTTCGAGTTCGAGTTCAAGTTCGTTAAAATTTTAATAAATAAGCCCAAACATACTAAAACTCGGCTCGGTTTGGCTCGTTTGCAGCTTTAGAAACAAGCAGAAATGATAGAGGCTCCCTTTTTCCTTAACCTTGACAACCCCACAAACACATGTCAGTGAGTAGTGAGTGATAGGAGAGGGGAAAAAAAAAACAAGAAACAAAAAGCAAAAAGTTAGCCAATCCCAAAACATTGGGGCTGGTGGGGGTCAAGGAAAAAGGAGGTCTCAACCTTTTTCTTAGAAACAAGTGATCGGGGATAGGGTCTACATGTGAGTCCAAATTAGTGTAAATCATTCTCTTACTATTTTTTTAAAAGGTAAATTACACTGATACCTTGAGATTTGGTCTAATTACATCCCCTCTCCTGACGTTTTGTGAAATTACATTTTCACCTCTTTGGTTAGGGCTGCAAACGAGTTGAACTGAACCAAGTTTTAATATGTTTGGGCTTGTTTATTAAGATTTTAACGAACTCGAGCTCAAGTTCGAGCTTGAGCTCAATAAAAATTTAACAAACTGAGCTCGAATATGGTTGGTTTAGGCTTGACTCGAGCTCAAGCCTGTTCATGAGCCTTAACGAGCCAAAAAATTTATAAATTCATATTCGTGTATGAAATTAAAGTTACAATTAAAATTTTGATTATACATTTATATATACAATATATATAAACATTCTAAAAAAAAAGTCAATATTTTATCAAAATAATAATATCTACTACCACTATTATATAAATGTACTATCTATAGTCAACTATTATTTACATTTATATTTTTTAAATATATAAATAACATATTTATCTTATTTTTTATACATATTTTTACATTATTTAATATATAAATAATAAATATTAAACGAGCCAAGCTTATGAGCTGAACTTTAAAATGTTTGGACTTGTTTATTAAAAATTAGGCAAATTACATATACCCCCCTCGAGGTTTGGTTAAATTACAGATAACTCCCTGAGGTTTCGGAAATTACATCCCGCCCCCTGAGGTTTGTATTTTCATAACAATTTGCTCCCTGAGGTTTATATTTCATAACAAATTACCCCCTAATTTCTTATGCAAATATAGCATTTAGGGGGAAATTTGTAATTTCTCAAACCTCAGGGGGGTATCTGTAATTTAGCTAAACCTCGAGGGGGGTATATGTAATTTGCCCTTAAAAGTTTAAAGAGCTCGAGTTCGAGCTCGAACGCAAAAGAAATTTAATGAACTAAGTTCGAACGAACTCTTACCGAGTCAAACTCGAGTCTGTTTACGAATAACTCTATTCATTTGCAGCCCTACCTGTGGTTAATAATCTCATTTCACAAACCCTTACGTAAATAAAAGGTAATAACTCCTATTAGAAAAATAAAGAAAATTACATAGAAAAATAAAAAAAATTACATTGAAAAAAAAGGTAAATTACACCCCTTGAGATTTGCTTAAAATACGAATCGCCTCTTGTGATTTGGAAAATTACAAATTCCTCCCTGTCAGAATTTTTTATTTAATAGAATTAATTAAAAAATTAAAATTTCTAACTGTTCACTTATGCAATAATAAAATTATCTGAATTATTAATTGAAATAAAATTTTAACATTATTTAAAACTGCTAATTAACTTGATGATTTATTAAATGAATATGCAATTAGAAACCTTATGGTGCATAATGTAATTTCTAGAACCACAAGGGGTAATTTGTAATTTAAGTAAACCTCAGGAGGTGTGTTTGTAATTTATCCAAAAAAGAACAAAGGAAAGGAAATGGATTAAAAAAAAAAAAAAGAGAGAACAGAGGAAGTAAAGAAAAGTAAAAAAAGAGAGAATGCATGAGTTCAACATTTTCATTCCGTCTAAATAATTACAATGACAGACGATTAGTGTAATTTTCAAACGTCAAAGAATGATATGTATTAAATTCAAGCCTCAATAGGTGTATATGTAATTTTTCCCTTTTTAAATTTTTTTAACTTTTAAAGAATATTACAACTAGCATGTTCCATGCATATATGTCTGGTAGCCTCCACTCGGGAAGCATGATAAAAATCAAGTCAATTACTCCATCACACAGCATCAAGTGGTGGCCTATTCTAAAAGAGAATTTTTATTTTGTTTAGTTTTATTTTGCATAATGTTCCATGAGAATGACATGGCAACAATTTTTTTGTTTTTGTTTTAAAGTAATGAGTCTTGGGTGTGACCTCTCTAATCCATAATATTTCATGTGTTTTGGTGATTTCAATTATTCATTTTGTAATGTTCTCTATGTATATCACGCATAAAATAAATTCGATCGATTAAATAATCGTAGCCATTTTGTCTTAACATGTTTGTCTAAAGAAAATTTGAATGATATATTTTAAAAAATACACTTGTCGTCTTTTTTTTTTTAGATAAACGCAAGAAAATGAATAAGTTATAATTATCAAATTAATCTATTTTTTTTTTTATTTTTATAAATGATATATACAGAGGATGCTACTAAATAAATAATTCATATTCAAAACCCATTACCTGTGGTAGGTTTCATGAATCTTGACAACACCTTTCAATCCAGATATGGACCGGAAAAAAAAAAAAAAAAAAAAAAAAAAGTGAAACACTAAGAGTTTTTTTGTGAAAAAAAAAAAAAAAAAAAAAAAAAAAACCATTTGTCTTTGTTATAGGTTTTTTAATTTAACCTATCCCAAAATTTAACTATGCAGTAGGGTTTGTATCCAAGGGTCCAAAATTCAAATGCAGAGAGAGAGAGAGAGAGAGAGAGAGAGAGAGAGAGAGAGAGAGAGAGTTAAAATGGGATACAAACAAAAGCCCTGTAGCTAGGGATGCATTCCTTTCCATTTTTCAATGTCAAGTTGTGTGGGTACACTGCCCTGAAATGTTGCACCCTATGCTTTGGGTTATACTACCTATTAATTGGAAGATCAATTATTTTTTTAGTTGCATAATCTTTTTCTTTTTCTTTTTCTTTTTTAAAAAATAAAATAAAAAATTGAAGATAGCATATTAGCATAGTTAAAAAGATGCCCACATCTTGACCAAGTCAAATGGGAAACTTATACAACCTTGCTACACACCCCCACTGGGGGTCGACCCCCAGTGACGTAGGCTTCCCCCATTGGCCAGTTTTTTGTTTTTTGTTTTTTTTTTTCTTTCCTTCCAATCCCGCAGTGCCACGTGGCACTGAGGGTCACTGGGGTGGCTTTTACTGGGGTCTCGCGCATTTCTGGAAACCTACAGGTCTCTCTCCACCTCTAACGTTTAATACACTTACATAGCGTAAATGGCAAAAAACAAGATCTGGAGAAATGGGATTGGGATTTCGAATTTGAATTATGGTGGCAGAGAAGTTGTGGGTGTTGAAGCAAAATTGCCAGAACCCAAAAATAAAAATGAAAAAAAAAAAAGGACCCAAATTTGGACCGAGGTGCATGGTTTAAAAATTGATAATTAATGATTTTTTTGTCATAATTTTTATAAATTGTCGTTAAAATTTTCAATTAGTGACTTTTTTATGACAAATTTTTTCCATAAGACCTATTAGAAAATAAATCCACTTATTAAGATTTACACGTAAGTAACTCCTTAATCCTTGAAAGGAAATCTATTCAAATATAACAATTCTAAGTAGAAAATAGCCATGGTCCCATTTTTCGTGGAGCCCTGCATATTAGAGATTTTGAGTCTGATTTTTCTGTTATAATTTTTCTTATTATACTTTTATATTTTTGTATCACATGTTATTAAAATATATCGAGTTAATACAAAAAAATATTACAATAATGATATTATAAGACAATGTCATTTTTTATAAGGGAAAAGATATTCTTATAAAAAAAAATTATATATAATTTGTTACGAGAAAGATGTGACAGTGACATTTATGTAATTAATAATTGATTTGATAATTTTTTTTTGTTTTAAAGTGATAGGCTCTCAGTGGTACTATATCAATTCGTACAAGTTTTTTTTTGTATACTTTTTCTATTTGTATAATATTATTCTTTTTATAAATAGAATTCTTCTCATAAATATTTTATTTTAAAATAAAAAAATTTATATTGATTACCACTTCTCTATTCTCAATGATTGATGTGGTTTGATGTAGCTCTCAATCCATACTATTTCATTTATAAGCCATTAGATTTGAGTCAATTTTATTATTATTACTTGTCATATAAAGTACAAGAATAACAGAAGACTGAAAGATAACAAGCAGTAAAGTAAAGAGTGCAGTGAGTGCACTAACATAAACCTATAAAGCTTCAACTTTCACTCACAAAGTTCCAACTTGAAATTATAAAAACTAATTCAAACATTATATAAATAATTCAAATGAAATCAATGGCATATCACAAGGCCATACCATACACTTATAATGCATACATTGAATGAGCAATACAAGTGAGTGGTTGCTCGAAGATAGAGACGGCAAATAAATCCATTTTCTTCTTCCCTTTTTTGTTATTTGGAAGCATTCAAGATATTAATAAAAAAGAAAACATAACATAAACCTATAAAGCTTCAACTTTCACTCACAAAGTTCCAACTTGAAATTATAAAAACTAATTCAAACATTATATAAATAATTCAAATGAAATCAATGGCATATCACAAGGCCATACCATACACTTATAATGCATACATTGAATGAGCAATACAAGTCTAAGATAGAGATGGCAAATAAATCCATTTTCTTCTTCCCTTTTTTGTTATTTGGAAGCATTCAAGATATTAATAAAAAAGAAAATGTAATACAAACAAACAATATATATAGATTGGAAAAACTCTAAAAACATATAATGATATAAATTGTATTTGAAATTGAAACTTATCATTTTTAAATAACATGTTCATTAGAATAATATTTAATTATAAAAATTCCACCGTCACATTATTTTGGTTCAAAACTTGCATACAAACTTATTTTTCACAAAAAGAAGAAAGAAAGAAAAAGAGAGAAAATCTGACATTTCCTCAGAAGAGTCACAAAGCTTTTCTAACTTGGCACCATCTCTGCTTTAAAGGATGCTCTGCCCTTCTTCTCCCTCCACCAAGATCAGCTCCCCATAAGCATCCACACAAGAGAGAGAGAGACAGAGAGAGTACAGTTGTAAGTCAGATGAAATGGCAACAACAAGTGCAGATGAAGACTACATAGACATGGAAGTAAGCTCTTCTTCCTCTACTTTCTTCTGCTATTCCATGAACTCTCCCCCTCCTCAAACCAGAGAATTTGAGTTCCAAATGTCTTCTATTCCCAATAACAAACCCCTCACAACCTCCCCAGCAGATGAGCTCTTCTACAAAGGAAAGCTCCTCCCTCTTCACCTCCCTCCAAGGCTCCAAATGGTCCAAAACCTCCTCCAAACCACCACCACCACCACACCACTGAATCAATCCTGCAACATTTCACCATCAGAGTCTTGCAGGGTGAGTTGTGAGCTCAACTCAGATGAGCATTTCTTTGAATGGTCCACTGAGTTAAGTGGCTTTCTCTCAGATCATCATCTTCCAAAGAAGTCCTGGTCCAAGAAGCTCAAGCTGATCAAGCAATCCTCACTTTCTCAAAAGCTCAAGGCCACAAGGGCTTATCTGAAATCTCTCTTTAGCAAGTCTGCTTGCTCAGATGAGTCCTCTGCCAAGGCGGAATGTATGAAACAGTGTATGAAAGTAGAAAACAAAAGCCCTTTTGGACAAATTGGAAAAGGAGCTTACCCAACAATAGCTTCTGTCATGAAGAGCATTGACAGAGAAATGAGTGATCAGGAGGGTGTGAATGGCCACAGAAAGTCATTTTCAGGGGCAATCAAGCGGCATTCTGCGATAAAGTCTTCGTCTTCATCTTCGTCTTCATCATCCGGGGCTTCTTCGCTGTCATCGTCGTTTTCGATTAATTCAAGTGGGTTCTATGAGTTACAGTTCTTTAAGAGGAGTATCAGTGCTAATTCAGAGATTGAGAGTTCAATTGAGGGTGCAATTGCTCACTGTAAACAGTCTCAACAAGAAGTGTTTGGTTCAAGTAAGATGTCAAGTGAAGTTGGGCTTTGTTCTGTGTCTGCTTCAAGGATTGCTGTTTCTGAGGATAAAGAAAGATGAGGGTTGTGCATTCCCTGATGTTTTAACGAGAGAGAGAGAGAGAGAGAGAGAGAGAGATGATCATATTGTTTTTCCATTGCCTGTCAATTTTTTTTTGTATGGTTTGTCATTTAATACCAAGTTTGATTTCAGGCATTTCCATAAGCATGGTTCTACACTTCTACTGCACAACCATTAAACCAAAATACAAATAGATGCTTCACTTTTCCCTCCACAAATCCCAACTCAAATCTTTAATCCAAACACAACCTTACTATCTATCTAGACATACACACCAAAGTTCCTCTTTCTAAACAAAAATATTTGGAACTTATTCATTCATCAAAGAATTTAGGGTAAATTACATCGACCTACCCTAAGGTTTGGAGAAAGTACAAGCCACTCAATTATGCATAATTACACCTACCTCCTATTTAGTAAGGTTAAAGAGACTAAAAACTAATGCAAATAGTGTTGTGACATAAAGATAAATTGGTAAAATATATTTCAGTGTAAATGATATGAAAACATCATTTTTGCATTCTAATGATTAACGAATTACCGATGAAAAAGAGGCTGAGTATTATACGAATTAAAACATTAAGGGAACCCAATGTAATTATGCTAAATTTTATGGGACTTATTATATTTTTTCCAAACCCCAATGGACGTAAGTGTAATTTACCCAAGAATTTTTTGTTCCAAATTACACTTATGCTCTCTCTCTCTCTCTGCAAAGTCACATTCCACACAGAACTAAAAAGACCTTTTCCGCATTGAAGCTAAATTTCAAGCTGGTTGGTTATTGAAATTCATGCTAATTTTTTTTTTTAAAAAAGGAAAAAGAAAAAGAAAAAGAAAAGAAAAAAAAGGGACTGCATTTCAGAGAAAGGGAAAAAAGAAAAGAAAAGAAAAGTACGAAGTTAGAAGAGTAAAAAGAAATACAGCTTTCACACACATCTAGGTAGTGGACAACTTTTCCAGGAAAGTTACCTTAATCTTTCTTCCACAAGTACTGTAAAAATTTGAGCTTTCTATATTCAAGAGAGGATTGTGTGAAATATTGTACTAGTTAGTTATGCATCAAAGTGAGGAATGTAATCTTATTCAACTTTTCTCTTTACTAAAGAGAAGTAGAAAGTAGATAGTCATTTAAGGGTATCTTCCACAATCAGCAGGAGAGAGAATATAGTTTCAATGAATACCTAGAATTAGAATTTTCTTGAGAAAGTTCAATTTTAGAGGAATCATCCTACATCTACCTTTCTTTGAAGAAGTATACATAAAGTGATAAACGGGGATTATAATCTTACATTAATAGAAAGCTCATAGTTTTGGTGAATACCTAGAATTTTTTTGAGAAAACTGTACTAAGCAAAATCAAATTTCGAGGAATTATCCTACATCTACCTTTCTTTTAAGAAGGATACATGAAATGATAAAGAGGCATTATAATCTAAAATTCAAACAAAGTGCAGTTGCCACCCATAAGACATCTTGAATCCACTGCGTATTAAACTAATCTATTGAAATGTAAAATTTCATTTTATCATCAAATTTGCCAAAGAATGAATGCATTGATATCATAGTGATCTGAACAGAAAAGCCCCGGTTTATATGTTTCATGCAAATGTTAAAATGTAAAGTAACACAAACACACCAAAAAAATAATAAGAAACATATAAGAAAAAAATTGTGATACAGTAAACAAATGACACACCTGCAATAATAAGAAGAAACAATCAACTAGACAACTTTCATATGCAGACAAATCCCTTTTACATGCTTTTATGTTCTATTTTCTGATTTTGACCAAACACGAAACCTAGAAAACATGTCATCCTATTTTTAAAAATTTTTTTAGAGTGACAAAATATCAGCAAATTCCATACCCACTTTAGAAATCAACAAATTTTTGCATACAGTTGCTAAACTATTATTGTTCTTCCCTAAGCTACTAAGCTGAGTGAGCGGTAAATATTCATTTTGTCCCGGTGCATGGTTACTCTCCCTGTGATTCCTGACAAGCTTTTTCGCAAGACAAATTTGCTAGTACAAGTAATTCACCCACCATATATACTAATTTGAGCATTCAAAAGAATAATGTTGAATGTTCATCTAAACTGAAAAAAAGATAGTTGTGGTAGCAACAGGACCAGTCAAGCCAGCGGAGCATGTGGGTATTGTCAGGATTGAGGAGAGATAAAAAAAAAGAAAAAAGAAAAAGAAAGGCACCATCACTATTATTATTATGCACAAAACCTTGGAACCCGAAATCTTTCTGTAACTAACTTGTATCTTCTTACACTATTCTAATGTTGTCCTCAGTAATGTGCCCACCAACAAAATCAGCAACAAGAAGAAATGGAGAAAACACATCTCTCTGTCCTATGCTAACTTTTTGCAGTCTGTTATTTTCCCCCCCCACAGATTTCAAGTTCTCTCTCTCACAATATATATATATATATATCATACTGATCAGCTTACTCTTTCAAATTAGGAATTAACAAATTAACTAAAGCAATTATCCGACATGAAAAACTAATTGAAAAAGCAAAAGAGCCTTATTTTCATAAAAGCCTATTCATATGAGTCATCCTTCCACAAAACTGAAAATCTGAAATGAACGATGAAGTGAATGGAGTTAGGATATGAACAATACCTCCTAAGTTACAAAGAACAATGGTTATGGTAGCAGCGAGGCACCATGCACTGATACATTGTCTGATTCATTTGGATACCTTTTGCCCTTTGGTCAAGCCACTTTCATGTCCTCTAGATTATTGTCTCCATCTCAAGTAAAAAGAAGCAACACTAGAATGTGGTGCTATGCATGTAGCATTGTTTTTTTATATTTTTTTAAATATATATATATATATATATATAAACAAAAACCGATCTTTGAAGATTTTTGCCATGTTACATGGGTATTTTCGAAATACCACGTTGGAGATGACATATCATGGGTGTGTGGGTACTGGATATATTGTGTGACAGGCCTACATGACCTATATTCTTTCCAATCGAAGATCGTATATATCAATAAGCAAAAGATTAGACTTGGAAATTTCGATTGCACGAGATTTAACAGGACAATAAGTCATGGGCAATGTTTTCTAAAAATTTCTACCATGAAAGGACTAGTTTTCCTGACAAAAAATAGTCAAATAACAAGTTGGACAAAAGGGATAATGTGATATGCTGATCTCAGCTAAGTATTAGCAATTTTATGTTGCCCTATCCTGCATGAGGCCAGAACAGGAATCGGTACAGTGGCATTAATCAAATGCTGATGAGAAAGTCCATTTTTCGTGCTTAGTTTGGAAGGAACATTGATATAACTTAGCTAATAATGTTATGGAACAGAACACAGGACCAAAATATAAATTAACCGACACAAGTACATGACACATGTAAATGAAATTTAGTATGAATAATTTTTTTTTAATCTGGTCAACAAAATCACTAAATTTAAGGATAAAGAGATTACAATACAAGTCTCTGCTACTTGTTTACATTCTACTAAACTTTCGTGAACTGGCAGTCACATTTACATTCTTCAAAGAAAAAGGACAGGATGAGATAAAATTGCAATCATTTATACACACAAAGGAGGAAAATCATAAAAATATGACGGAATAGATCAGAAATGCTAAACAAGGGGTCAAAAAGGATACACGTCTTACTCACAGCAAATTGCATATTGTTTTTTATACCCATTGCTCAGCATCTCCAGCTGAGATCGCTGGCACAGACCATGACTTACTACTCCTTCCTGACCTATGGATGCTACTCAAATTGTTAGCCCCAATCCGATGCATAATCAACCGATAACACATTGTCCCCAATGTCGATCCCATCGTAATTGTACCGAATACTGTCACTCCAATGGCCAACCATCTCTCAGTCCCAACAACAATATATGACATGGCGAGGAAAGCCACCGACACAAAAACGCAAGCCAACCACATGAGCTTGCTAATAACACCCATCATTTGCTTCTTAGCCTTCCTCTCTACAACTACAATCGATGTCTGAACAACCACAACAGCCAAAGATATGAAGAGTGCAAGTGAGTCAAATATGATGAATATCAAGAAAGGGGTTTGTCGAGCAATGTTTGCTTCTCCTAGAGAGACTTCGGGAGGAATAGGATTGGACCCATCAGCGTACTGGCCAGGGATAGTAAAAATGGCAGCGAAGGTAACAGTGGCAATTAGAACAGGAACAACTGTGGCCGAGTTGACAGTGTTGTTGAGCCCTTCCTCATTCATTATGTTGATCCTCTTGGTTATACCTTGTACATGATTTCGTGTTTGGAATGTGTGCTCGAGCTGGTCGTGTACCTCGTGTTTTATGTCACTTACAGTTTGCTTTAATTCCTTGGCTGTATTTGTTGTTGGCATTGACTTCATGGTTTTTGAACTCTGCACTCCATGATTCTTAAGGATAATTGCAATCTCTGAATGCCCCGTTTTCTCAGCAGTGTCAAGAGCAGTTTCTCCTGATTTGTTAATGGCTTGTTTATCGATTCCCTCATGATTCAGTAGTGCCTGAACAATCTGCAGAAAAACATGAGGCTCATCCAATCACAAGGCTTTATAAAGAGATTGAGAATCTTTTTTTAAACAACTCTAGTTCTTTAGTTTTTGTTTTGCAGATTGGGCTTATGACTGACAAATTTGACTCCATTACAATCCAATTAGAAGATCTTTTGCTATGTTACATGAATATTTAGAGGGTATTTGGGATGCAGCTAAAATGCTGCTTTTGCCTAAATAAGCCAAAAAGTCAAAAAGCTTGTTTGTCATCAGCTAAAAAAATCAAAAAATAGCTACTTTTCAACCCAAAAAAAAAAAAAACACTTTTATAGCACCTTCACAAACACATTAGCTTTTTTAGCTTCTACTTAATAAGTCAAAAGCCACTAAAAAAAATCACTGCCAAATACCTGTGCACGACCCTTTCGGGTTGCTATGTGCAGTGAAGTGTTGCCCTTGTTATCAGCCATTTTTATCAAAGCAGAATCTAACTCAATAAGCTCATCAACCACCTCAATACTCTGCCCCTTAACTGCCATGTGAAGAGACGTCTGCCCCTTCTTATCAATCCTCAATGCAATTCCCGGTTCTTTTCTCAAGAGGGCCTTCACAACCTCCAAATGTCCATTTCTTGCAGAAGAATGCAATGCAGTTTTTCCATTGTTTTTTGTTATCGTGGCCAGGCCACTTTTTCCTTCCAATAGGAAATTGACCACTTCAATATGGCCATGTATTGCAGCAGTGTGCAATGCAGTGGTGTTGGATTGATCAAATGTCATTGAAAGGTCAGGAAGGGCCTTCATGAGTACCTTCAATATCTCTGCAATATTTAAAAAAAAATAAAAATTAAAAGTCAAAGTCATGAGAATATTTCAACCCTGAGAATGATTAACACGCCTGAAATGACCAGAAGCTTGGAAGCAAACGATGTAAAATATGGGAAGACTTGTAAGAATTTAAATAAAACGTCCAAAATAGTTTGCGATAATGTTTGGCTTATAATTTGCACCTAGGTTACTTGAACTCTTCTAAATGTGTGAAGTTTACCCAATAAGCATGTCTAGTAATTCGAGTTTACCATAAATTCATGCATTAAACTTATATTCCGTATAATGCATGAAATGCTCTATGTTACCTTGTAAACATGAGTTCACCCTAGAAAATAGAAGATAATATTAAGAAAAGCAAATAGTTTGTCATGTTCCCATGTCCTTAGACATGGGAATTAGATGAATCCAGTGCTTAGACACATACCCAAGCCTGACACCTGTACACGAGTCCATGAACATGGATTTGCACTTTAGATTATTATTATAATGACTTTTGCAAATATGGTCACAACAATCACCAATCTACGATTAGTACATGTGAGATAAGATTGAATTAAAGTTCAATGAAAAAGATAAAGACTTCATATGGAACATGTTTAAACAAGGTAGATATTTAACAACACAAAGATATCACAAAGGAAGGGCATCTTTTTATGAACTTACCCAAGTCTCCTTGCTTGGAAGCAATGTGAAAGGCATCATACCCATTTTTAGCTTTGACAGTAGCAGATGACATATCATAATACTTTATCATCTCCTTCACCAAATCAACATAACCATATTCAGCAGCAACATAAAGGGCAGTTTCGCCCGATTGATTTGGCTTAGACAACAATTTCTTCAACTCTTCATCCCCACAATTGGTGAGCATTTCCAAAGCCACTTCCAAATTCCCTGCTCTTGCTGCTGAATGCAAAGGGGTGTCATCTCGTTTCCCTGTTAACTGCTTCGTCATCTTCTTCCTACGGAAGCTTTGCTGCCTCGCCGGAGACTCCATGAAACTCTCAATTTTACTAAAAGATTCACCTCTATATCAATATCTCCATGTCAGTGGTAAGATTTAATTTTCTAAACAGAACTGAATCGTAGTGAATCGCAATTGAATCATACGATTTACTCAATTTAAGATTAAACAGTACGAATCAAATCCTTACGGTTGAAACTCGTATCCAATCATATTAATAGAATTGGGAATTACAAGATTCTAGTAACCATATCTCTAAGTATCAAATTGTGCATCAATTGAAAGAAGATACTTTGGATGACTATTTCACATGAGGGTTTCAGTTTTGATACCCAGTGCCAAAATCTAACATCATACACACGCAACTGTATATTCTCTTTAACTACCCAAAAAACTGTATATTCTCCTCACACCAATACCCAATTGCTTGGATATTGTTCAGTTCACACCTCTTCAATCATTATCACCATAAGAAACAGGACCAAAAGACGCAAAACTGCATAATTTTCAACCAAAACTGTAAAAATAAAAAGTATTTTTAGTTTTTCCAACTTAAACTACATAAAAAACATTGAAGAAAAAAGAGAAGGGAAAAAAAAAAGAAAGGGCAATTGGGTACCACCCACAAGATCAAAAATCAACAATAAACCATGCAAATTCATGATAAATTCAAGATATTCACCTGGGCAGCTTTGAAGAGAAGTAGCAGAAACTTTACAATCTCTCAATCCATCTCAGAAAGTAGAAAGTGCACAAGCAAAAAAGGTATTAAAGAACACTAGGTTTATACGGGAAACCACAAAAATCACAGAAAGGTTGAAGAAATCTAACTTTTTTAGCAGCTATATATGTTGGAGAGGACAAGAACATAGGAATGAGAAACAGGCCAAAAAGATAAGAGCTAACAGTGGAAAAACAGTGAACACGTGGAGGGCAAGTGAAGGCGAGAAAATTGTCATTATTGGACCTTGGACCCACTATAATCTGTGAATAATTAAATATATAGATTTTATTTACAATAGCACAAATGATAAGGTTTTTCAATTTGATTGATCATCAAAATGACTAATTGGAAATACATTTTAAAAAGGTTGTTGTTTTTGAAGGACAAAATGGTATTACACCATAGTCCTTGCTATGAAGAAGCAAAATTTATTATAACTATTACAATTCATCATCTGTTGGTGGGTTATATAGCGGCACAAAAGTAGATTAGTTTAGTAAGTGGGATTTGAAACAAGGATTTGCAGAGTCAGTGATAGAAAAAAAAAAATAAAAAATAAAAAATATTTGAGATTGAAAATATCTTCCTCAATTAGATTCATAATAATTTAATTTAATTTTTAATTTATCACATATTTAATCATATAAAGTTCAGTTTTCTTATCACATCATAGTGCTTAAATTTGTTGATTTAAACTATGTGTTTTTAACCTTTCTTGATTATACTAATACTAAGAATATAAAATTAAAAATAGAATAAATCACAAAAAATAAAATCACATACATAAATTTATTGTAAGCGTGAATCTTATAATTAAGTTTAATCTCTACTTTTTTTTCTTTTTTATATTACATTTTTTGCAATTATTCTACTATCCATTCTATGCATTGTTGTAAAAATGATGGTAATAACAATAGTAGCATTGATTGATTGGTGGAGTTTTTGGAGCTCCCACCGAAAGTGTGCGATATGATTGGATTCTTGATAGAGGGAAAATTATATGATGTTTTTAGGTGCTCCAATTTGTATTGAATCATTTAAAATAATAGAATCTTTTATTTTTATGTTAGTTTTTAGTAGACAATTAGATAAATATCACACAGTAAATGGTGTGAAATAGAGGTGACGGCTTAGAGTTTGCAGTATACTTCTTTCATGTCTCAAATTTAAAGGGCTCGTTTGGTTTGATTTTCTGAAAAAAATTTGGGAAATTTTCTCTACAAATAAGTTTTCAAAAATAACCAAACCAAACAAATTTTCCCAAACAAATTTCCCAAAACTTGTAAACCAAACAAGTTTTCCAAACAAATCTCTCTCTCACACACATCAAATCAATCACTTTTTCCAAAACTCTATCTCAAAATAATTTTCCAAAACATTTTTTAAAAAAAACCAAACCAAACATGTTTTCGTACTTTTTATCTCTAAAACACATCTCTCAAACACAAACCAAACATACCCAAAATTTCTTAAAATAATTTTTTAAGATCAATCTATCTTAATGGATTAATCGATTTCTTGATTTATTGAATCGGATAGCGAGTTATAAAAAAAAAAAAATGTGAAATATTGCTAGACCAAAGTGCTAGTTAACTTAACCAAACTCTAGTCAAGCCGCCTCAAAGGACCACAGATTTTGTTGCTTTCCGGAAAGCCCAGAACTTAAAAGACAACTTTTTTTTGTTTTCTTGTTTTTAGGGGTATAAATTTAATTTTGTAAAACATGAAAGCCAACTTTAAAAATTAAATAGAAAGGTAGTAAAAAAAAATTTTTAAAAATCATTGCGAAGCCATTATTTCTCAAATAAAATAATAAAATCTCAAAATATTATAAATAAGTTATTTATTATTATTTTTTTTAAAAAAAAGAAACTGAATGATGTCCTTTGGATTATTCTCTACTAGACTACTATTATCGTTCCTATTGAAAATATATCGATATATTGTTTGGCCAATGCTTTTTTTCTATAGTAATTTTAATTTTAATTTTAAATTTTTTTTTAAACTTTTAAGTGACTCTAAACTAAAAAAAAAAGAAAAAAGTTATTGAATAGCTAATATGTGACTCGATCAAAATCATATTTAATTGTAATAAAATTACATAAAACTAACAATCTCACGAGATTTTAAATCACCAAAAGCTGAAATTAGCATTCTTTTTGGCAGCATGTAAAAAGCCAATTTTTTATTTTTTGACTTTTTTGGGTCACATCACCTCTCTTTTTTTTTACACAAAAAAGCCAAAAAATCGCAAAAAAAAAAAAATAAAATTAAAAAACTAATATTTTACCAACTTCCCAAAACACCACACTAGGTGAGATTCACAATTCAAGCTTACAAGGTTAGATGGCTAAATATTTCACATTCCCTTTAGAAAAACAATAAAAAGTGATAGGTTTAATCACAATTAACTAATATCACAGCCTTCGTATACAAGTCAATACAATTTATTATATATCTTCAACTTAATACCACTACACTAATAATTCTATCATCCAATTTTACTATTCTCATAATCCCAATCAACTTAATACGACATGTTTGGTGTTGCTTTTAAGAAGCCAAAAGCACTCTTTCTCTAGTTCCTCAATAATTAGCTTTTTTATACCTAATAAGTTATAAGCATAAGTTGCAACAGACTCCAAAATTAAAATAAACTATATAAGCAATTCATTTGAGCTGCACCAAACAGACAATGAAAGATGGAAATAATAGAGGTCAAATAGAATATGCAATGTTGATATGTACAGAAATAGCATGCTTAAGTTTCCTTTGAAACCAATCCCAGACAAGCCCAAAAGTTACCATCCACAACCATGTTGTTAGTTATCTGAAATAGAAGTTTCTCCCCCATAAATTAGCCCAACCACCAAGACAAAGATAGGTTTACAGGCTGAGAATAAACACAAGCAGTTCAAATAATGTATGAACTCATATCAGATGGTATACCGAATGTTTTGATTCACAAGACCCAAATAACATAATTACGAACGCAAAATAAATTAAAGAAAACATTCATCCCAGACAAAAATTGGCAACCAAAAAAATCCAGACAATAACCTTGCAATGAAATTGATCTACACAATGTGGAAAAACAAATTCTTCATAGCCGATCATCACTGAATGTATGATTTTAACAAAAATATCTATTTTCATCGACCTGGCATAGGTGGTTGTTAATCTGTAGTCTGAGAAGCTTGACAATTACAACAACAGCTACAGTAACCAACTTGCTGCAAAAGCATGCAATTTCATGGCAAAGTTGGGTGATGCAGTCATTTCTCTAAGAAGGCAAAACAATAGAAAAAGCTAGGTTTCCAATGCCTCCCCAACCTTAGGGAATACATATATGGAACTGAATATATGTACATAAATGAATACATACATTTTATACATATATAGACACTCATGCAGGTATTGTACGGCTCAATCTGTGGCGGAGACTGATGTGTGCCATTACCTAAATACAATTTTACAACCAACAGAAAACTCTTTTCATTTTGATATATATATATATATATATATGTATTTATTTATCTATTTTTGTGGGTATAGATCCATCCTCATTCTTAGTTGAGTATTCTTAAGAAGCTGCAATGCAAATAAAAACAGAATGAACTTCAGCATCAAATCAACAGAGTTCTCAAGAACTTGCATAAACAAATTTACACAAAGTTAAAACAACTTTAAATTGCATTGAGCTTACCAACTACAACAAGCTAGGATTATAACAGAAGCTAACCAACCTTCCGTTCTGTGCCAATAGATCTTCCTGATCTGTCAATCCCATATCTGAAATAAAATAGCAATGAATCAGGTTAAAATTTAAGCCATAATACAACAAATTATTGCAGCCCTGAACTAATTTTAAAAAATATACAAATTTTAAACAATTAGAAATATGTCATCCTCTGAAGACGCAGGTTTCTGATGTGCCAAGGTGACCATTCTGTTGTGATCCCTGCAATATCCCATTGAGACCTTCATTTTTTTTGGGGGGGGGGGGGGAAAAAAAAAAAATAATAATAATATAAGAACCTTCACCTCATCAAATGATGATCAAAATAACAAAATCAGAAGATATTGTAGAAGCTTCGAGTATCAATTTCATGCTGTGAGTAACTGTCAAAATATGGTACCACTATTGGTTGAAGAACAATGTAAAAAAATGTGCAATTAGGAGCCCAAGGTGAGAAAGAGCATTGTTTGTTAGGGCTGTGCAGAATCGGCTAGCAAACTAATAGGGTGAGAACAAATGCTTATCAGACTTTAACCAAAAGCATTTTACGAAGTTTGCATAATTAGGTTCAGCCCAAACTAGATTTGCAGATGGATTAGTCAATTGATCATTCGGAGCTGAACCTGCTTATAAAAAAAACCATGACATTTTCTTAGTCAGCATGAGAAACTCACTCTCTGTGAAATCTACAAAGATTGCAGAAATATGTATAGTACCCATTAATAGTTAAGAGATTAACAGTTCTGCTCTAACTCATTTCTTATCACACCATATTTCCTCAACACACCAAAATGCAATTACTCCCAAGAAATTCATCCATTTGCAATGTAACTCATTGGCGGATACAGTAATTACAGCACAGAATCTCTTACACAAACTGCATTACTTTTCTTCTGATATTCTTCCATCAAAGAGCATAAATCGGATTTACTTCTGAATCAGATAAATCTGAATGACGCCACGAGCTGTTTCCACTCTGCGAATACTTCTCTCTCTTCCTCACCTTCCGATGCCTTTTAGACTTCACCACATAATAAGTCATAGTACCAAGGACCCCAGCCATTATGACTCCGCCTACAACTGTAACAAAAATTGCAGCCCACTTATGATGCCGGCCAACTACAATGTAAGATGAAGCAATAAATGCCACGGTAGTGCAAACAGAGGCCAACCACATCAACTTATTGATCACTTCCACAACCCTCCTCTCAGATTTTATCTCTCCCCTAACAACCGTAATCTGCACCAGGACAACAGCCAGTGATGTGAAGAGTGCAATGGCATTAAAGATGAAGAAAACCTTGAAAGATATACTGCCCACCATCACGGCCACCCCATCATCATCATCACCTCCAGGAACTGTGAAAATAGCCGCAAATGCAACTGTGGCAAAAAGAACTGCCACCACAGTGACCGAGTTAGTGGCATTATTGATTCCTGCCCTGTGGAGCTTTCGGAGCTCCTTCGCAATTCCATTCATGTTCTTGTTGGTTTTCCGGGCTTGTTCAAGCTGGGTGTGGACATCGTTCTTGATTTCTGTTACAGTTTTCCTGAGCTCATCCCTTGGCTGGTTTAGTTCGTTTGCTTTGACAGCACCGTAACGAGCCAAGCAATCCTTTATTTCTGAGGATTCTTCAGACAGAGGAAGCCCTTCTGCAATGTCAAGAGCTGTTTTGTGGTCTCTTGTTAATGCATTCACATTGGTGTCACGGAGGGATAATAGCTCATTCACTATCTGCAACAAATCAATTACAACATTAATAAATTGGCACGTTCTCTTCTAATTTTACAGAGCTTTTCTTGGTTTTTGTGTTTTTTTTTTTTATTCCTATAATCTTTACATATCCATCATGTTTTGTGCATACTTTAGTCCTTTCCACATGATACTTGTTCATGTATTTTTTTTCTTAAAAATGTCAAGAGCTGTTTTGTGGTCTCTTGTTAATGCATTCACATTGGTGTCACGGAGGGATAATAGCTCATTCACTATCTGCAATAAATCAATTACAACATTAATAAATTGGCACGTTCTCTTCTAATTTTACAGAGCTTTTCTTGGTTTTTGTGTTTTTTTTTTTTTATTCCTATAATATTTACATATCCATCATGTTTTGTGCATAACTTTAGTCCTTTCCACATGATACTTGTTCATGTTTTTTTTTTCTTAAATGTTTTCTGGTCCACATGAAAGTTTGTTTACTAGCCTATAAGCATGCCATTATTTTATATGCAAACTTTTAATTTCTTTTTTGGTTCTAAGTAGCATGCAACATGCATATTCTTTCAGTTCTTGTGCATAAAGTTGCTTCTCCAGTTTGATAAGGGCTTGCCCCCTTGAATTTGAATGGCAATGGCCCCATCAAACTTTTCCACAGCATTCAATGTAAAATTTTTTCATATTGAATAGCATCATCATTTGTAACCAATGCAACCATCCAATCTTGAATTTGTCATTTCAAGGAAACCTAATAATGATCATGCATGAAGACGTACAGTGAAATCCCCCATCTAGCTCCAATGAAGATGATCTATTTCTACATTTTCACTTCAGAAAGGACATGGTTGACTTAAATCTAACTGAGGATATGACTTCGAATATAATCAACTGAGACAAATTTTTAAGCCTTGCCCATATATTATCAAAAAGATACATTATGTAGATATTGAGGTGTCAATGTTAATCAATACCTCTGATCTCTTTTTCCTGGTGGCTACGTGTAATGCCGTGCTACCAAACTTGTCCGGAAGCATCACAATGGCTGCATCTGCCTGAAGAAGCAACTTCACAACCTCACAACTAACCCCTTTGACAGCCATATGCAATGAGGTCTGTCCTTTCTTATCCGTTCTCCTTGCTAATTGTGGATCCTTATTAAGCAATGCTTTCACGATCTGCACGTGCCCCTGCCTGGCAGCTAAATGTAAAGCGTTCTTTCCATTGGATTTCGATATCTCTAGCAAGCTGGAATCTTTTGCCAGTAACTCATTAACCACTGCTAAATGGCCTCTTGTAGCTGCAGATATAAGAGGGGTTGCATTCGATTGGCCAAGTGTTTTGCTTAGCATTGGGTCATGGTTTAATAGCACCTGGACAATGGCTGCAAAAATATAGTCATTAAACCATATTGGAGTGGTTTCACAAATAAACAATCTGTCATGCATAAATTAAATAATTGAAAAATAGAACATGAACTATGAAGTATGGATATTTCCAAAAGAGTCGTGTATCCATATCATACCCGTGTCAAATACTGACACTCCTCAAATACTTAAGGATACGTATTGATAATTCCTAAACCTATCATTTTGAGAAGTATTGAATACTCTTCATACACTCAAAGTCATGTATACAAACTATTATGAAATTGAAATTGTAATAATTTTTGCATAGTATTAGGGGATAATTGTTAGAATAAATACAAGAATAGTTTTCTATTTTCTTATTCCTTATTGAAGAAGTAAATAATAATATTAAAATAGTACTTTACTTTAAGATTTTTTCAAATTAACAGATCTACCAAAAAAAAGAAGGATACTAACTATTAGCTCTTAAATTAATATCTAATTGTTATAGAATGGATTCTCGCTATTCTTTTACCTCATGTATTTTTCACTATTCTTTAAGCTCAAGTATAATATAATACTAAATTTTATGTTTCAACATATCTAGCTATATCCTTAACTGTATTTTATGTTTTAAAATTTTATCGTGAGATTACGTCCGTATCCGTATCCGTATCCTGTATCTATATCCATGCTTCATAGAAAACAAACTGATAAGCTTTTCAAAATTCAATGATGAAGCCAATACATTTTAGGTTATATTAGAAGGATACATTTTGTTACATCCTATTGTATCTTTTTTAACATTCATTTCTGATACCCTAGATCATTTTTTTTGAAAATTTACCATGTAAGCTACCCTCCAATTCAATGACAAAACACAAACATCAATAAATTTGCTGTAATACATTTGCATCAATTAGCATATAGTGAAAACAACTTAAAGAGCATTGACCAATGAAATCTAAAATTCAAAACCATTACCATGGTGACCTTGACTTGCAGCAACATGAAATGGATCAAACCCGACCCGATTCTTAGCCATAATCCCCTCCTTGGTGGTGTAGGGCAGGAGCTCCCTCACCACATTGATATGCCCCTTCTCCGCCGCCGTGAACAACGCCGTCTCCCCCAACTCATTCACCTCATTCACAATTGCCGCTCTAATCTCCGCCACCTCCGAATCGAACTCCGCCCCGCTCAGCGTCTTCACCATTTGCGCATCGATCTCACCGAGGATCTGCTTCACCGCCGCCACGTCACCTCTCTGCGCCGCGAGGTGGAGCTCCGTATCGTTGTGCCTTCCGGTCACCTGCTTCACATACTTCTTCTTCGCCGAATTCGGTTGATCCATTCGCTTACCCGAACCCGACTGGTCCATCCGCTTACCCGAATTCGAAAGGACCAGTGCTTTTCCAGAAGTCGAAACCCTAAGCGCTTTTCCAGAAGTCGAAACCCTAAGTGCTTTGCCGGAATTCGATAAAATTAGAGCCGGTGCCGCCCTCGACGACGGCGTTGGTGGCTCGGAGGGGAGTTTTGCGGCGGAGGTCAGTCCCATCTCGATGTCCCTCTCGCGTCCTTCACAATTAAAACATTGTTATTAAATTTATTGGAATTCAAAACATTGTCATTATCATATATCACAGATTGCACATACCTTCATCGTTGAATGAAGCCATTGTTGAGATTGTGAAGAAGAAGAAGAAGAAGAAGAAGAAGAATTGCTATAAATTCATTTATGTGTGTATATTTTATGTATATGTATGTATAGTTACATGGAAGGTGGCGATTGGGAGGCGGGGTTGATCGGAAAATATGGTGGTAGGCCGCCGGCGGTGGTGGTTGTTGGTGTTTTTATTTATTTTATTTTATTTTATTTTATTTGGGAAATAGAGTGGCCGCGGGGGCCTACCATTTGGTACGGTAGGACAAATTTCGTTGGAGTTTCGTCGTAAAGCAGTTATTATGGTTGATGGCATAGGGTAGGTTTGGGATGTTGAGTTGGTTTTTGATTTTTGATTTTTTTTTGGGTTATTTTAGTTTGGGGTTAAAACGTTTTGTTCGTGATAGGCTTTTTAATTTTTTTGACTTTTGTGAGAGAAAAAATAAAATGATTATGATTTGAATGTGATGTTTTATTTTATTGGATTAAAAAGTTTATTTTGGATTCGTTTGATGTAAAAGTTTGTGTTGGGTTGGAGCTATTTTAGTCAACAAAATAGGTTTTTTAGTCTAATAAGATAAAATGTCACATCCAAACTATAATCATTTTATTTTTTTTCTTACAAAATTCAAAAAACCTATCACAAACGAGACTCTTTAGCCACAGATTAAAATAAAAAAAAAACCAAAAGGCCAACCCACATCCCAAACGAAAACTTTGTCTTTTTGTGAATAAAATAGCTAAAAAACCAAGCATGCCCAACGAAGGCATAATGAAAATAATCTATTTTGTTATATATATATATAAAGCAAAGGCTTGCCTAGGTTTATGTCACGGTTTTTTTTTTATGGACCTTTCTTAGGTATGCCTTGCATATGCTTCAACAAATTCATAGATTTTAGTGGTTACCTTCATGTTTTAATAGTTCTCAATTTTATTTTTTTATTTTTTTTTAATTTTTTTTTTTTAAAAAAAAAAGGGAAGAGAGACATGGCACAACCTATCTACTTTGTTTTTTATGCAGTTACATGTCAAACTGAATAATTTTGGGTTGAAAATCTACCATTGCTTTTAAAAATATTTTCTAAGGCTTTGTTTGAGAAGCCAACTTTTGGGCTTTTTTTGGCTAAAATAGTCACAAAAAATAAAATAAATTTTTTAGCCCAATAAGACAAAACATCACATCTAACCTATAATCATTACATTCTTTCTCTCACAAAAAATTCAAAAAAGCCAAAAAAGTTAAAAGCTCTTCCCAAACTAGGCTTTTTAGCCCTAAGCTAAAATAACCAAAAAAGCTAAAAAGCCAATCCACTTCCCAAACGAATCCTAAGTGATTCACCAATTTTATATAATTCACTCTAAAATGGATTCGATTGGTTGAAAATCTACCATGGCTTTGAAAAATATTTTCTAAATGATTTATCAATTTTATATAATTCACCCTTTAATGGATTCAATAGTGAAGTGGGTTGGCTTTTTGGCTTTTTGGCTTTTTTGGCTATTTTAGCCTGGGCTAAAAAGTTTGGTTTGGGAAGGGCTTTTTGGCTTTTTTCCCAAACGAATCCTAAGTGATTCACCAATTTTATATAATTCACTCTAAAATGGATCCGATTGGTTGAAAATCTACCATGGCTTTGAAAAATATTTTCTAAATGATTTATCAATTTTATATAATTCACCATTTAATGGATTCAATAGTGAAGTCAATTGAAAATAATTAGGCATAAAATGAAATATTAGGTCTATGCTAGACTATTTTGTCAAATGATTGATTAAATACTAATTTCTGCCCGCATTCAAATGAAAAAAGAAGTTAATTATACTTTTGATCCCTCTAGTTTGATTCAAATTTTATTTTTATTTTTTATACTTAAATCTAATTTCAATTTGGTTATTCTACTTAAATTGGAAATTAAAATTAACGATTTTGCATTTATCAATCGTACAAAAAATTAACCAAATTTCAATAGAAGGATTAAATTGAAATTTGATTCTTAAAGGGTAGGGATTAAATTGTTTAAATTACAAATATAATGATCAAAATAAAATTTGAGTTAAATTATAAGAGTGAAAAGTTTAATTGAAGTGCCAAAGTTCATATCCCTGAGATTGTTTCGTAGAGTAGATTTAAATGTACCGTGACAAGTAAAATAAAACTAATATATATATTTTGAATCAAATTATGGGACAAATGATAAAAGGAATTTTTGAAAATATCAAATTAGTAGTTCATGTTTTGTTTTTTTTTTTTCTGAAAAAATAACATTATCAATCTTTCCATGCATTCAACCAATAATAGGTTTGTGACCATGGACCTAAATCCACGTTGTCAAAGATCATGTGTGTTCCAAATTTTTTTTTGAGGACCATTGTGTGCATTTCTTAGTCGAAAATGTTGCAATAGACTATACAGTTGTCTTAGTTTTCTCCTATATCTCAATTTACTTCTTTTATTCAGATTGTGTTTTGATTTTGACTTTTGCACAGTAATTTGTGAACGAAAAAGAAACACAAAGAAAAAATGAACAAAATCTTATTTGGTTTCTCTTGTTTTAGTTTCCCTCTATAAATTCCTCACAAATTCAAAATCTAAATAAACAATAATATGTTACAGATTTATCCCAAAAAAGAAGTGATATTAACAAAACCACCACCGATGTACCAAAAAAAACTATTCAGTATGTTTAGTTTGAGTTTTCTGAATTAAGTTTTTTAAAAATTAAGTTTTTTGGTTTTCGAGTTTTTTTTATTTTTAGTGAATATTTTTAAATTTTTAAGCATATTTTTTTATTTTTTTAGATGCACCTTACTTAGATGTACCTAAAAAGTAAAAAATTTGTGAAAAAATATTTTTAAAAATTAATAAATACATAAAAATATAAAAAATGTACTAAATTCTTGTATTTTTTTGTATTTTTGGTATTTAGTGAATTTTTAAAAGATTTTTTTTACAATTTCTTTACTTTTTAGGTGTATTTATATTAGGTGTGTCTAAAAAGTAAAAAAAAAAATTGCTTAAAATATTAAAAAAAATTCAGTAAAAACAAAAAAATACGAAAAATAAGAAATTAGAATTTTCTGAAAAATATTTTTTGAAAAATGGAAACAAACAAGTTATTTTTCTTACTGTAGCTGGTCATTTGCATTGTCTCAATATTTTAAAGAGTAAAATAGTTATAAAACAATTTTATGAGCACACAAGATTCATATGAATTTGGCTGAGAAGCTAGTTCATTTGAATTTGACCCTTGTTTGCTTGATCAATTACCCCAAATTATTTAGTATTATATGGCTAATACAAGTTGTTTATAGGATTAAATGCTTGAAAATGATTATTCTGGTGAATCTCATTAAAAATTATAAAGTATATTGTTTAAATTGTTTACAATGACAATACTAAATTTGAAGTATATTTTATTTCATTTTATTTAAAGTATATTTTATTTTTATTTGAAATATATTTTATTTTATTTTACGAAAACCTCTTTTAATTTTATTTAAATACAACATTAGAAGTGTATTTTTATCTATGATTTTGCTAATACAAAAAAGAAAGAAAAAAAAAAGTTTGAGAAGACTATTATATATCATAAGATTAATTTATACATGTTTAAAAAATTCAACATGTTTAAAAAAAATTTAAAAAATGAAAGAAATAAATTATATATATATACTTAAGGGTTAATTTTGTCATTTAACTAGTTAATCCAGAAGTTGGCTCAGTCTCCCCATTTTTATCCCACACTCCCATAGAATTGAGTTATCCCATATATTAGGGATTATTAGTCTGACCGGACTATTAGTTTGGCCTTCACTTTTCCAACCAAACATTGGACTATCTACTTTGTTGGACATGAAGTCTAATCCCATACTTTAATCCCACCAAACCAAACAAACACCCCAGAGACTGTTTGGTATAGTTTATGAAGTTGTTTATATATATATATATATATATATTTAATTTAAAAAATTTGTGTCAAAGTAATTAGTGTAACTTTTCTTTATAGTTTATGAGACAAAAATAAATTTAAATAATTTTTAAAAGAAGTTGATTATTAGAAAGTTGTTAAACTTGTAGTTATTGTAACAAACAGACTTAGATAACATGGTGTAATGATCATAATTTGAGAGTATTGAGGTCTTTTAATCTACTAATCTGAACCTTTCTCAATCGGTTAATTTTGTATCACATCCCCTCATCAGACTCATTTTTCAATCTGAACCTTTTTCAATCGATTAATTTAACATTTTTCAATCGGTTAATTTTGTATCACATCCCCTCATCAGACTCATTTAAGAAGACTCAATAGTCTTCTTAAATATATAGCATAAGAAAATTGTCAATTCAAAGACTCATTTTTATATCCAAAACTGGAATTTAGAATTGATTGGACAGAAGTCTATTTTGAGAAGTAAGTTAAAAATTGATTTTTTATTTTTATTTTTTTGACTTTTCTTAAAAAAAAATGTATAAAAAAACAAAGAAGTGATGTAATCTAAAAAAAGCCAAAAAATAAAAAATTAACTTCTAACCAACTTTCAAAATAAGCCATAGTTTAATCGCATGATTTTATATCTCTAACTAAACACAACAAATAGCCAAGTCTTTTCCAATTGAAGACTATTTACTAGTCTGTTTGGTGTAGTTTCTAACAAGTTGAATGCTGAGAATCATAAAGTATAATTTAAATACACATGTTCTCTTACTTTTGTAATCATATATATACATATATATATATATATATATATATATAAATTTATTTAAGCTATTTTTCCCTAACAAACCTATATTCATGAGACTCAATAATAAGAGTGGTGTTACATCCCCCAATATATCATCCCACGTTGACCTCTAATGAGATGGAAGAGAGAGAATAGAAAGGGATAGAGAGAGGAGGTGTCATGACCCGAACCCACCCCTAAAAGTTTGGGTCATAACTGACCAGTAATCCGTAGATTACCGAAAGCCTCAAACGATCATACATAATATTTATGCTAATGGGGCCATAAACGGAAACATATAATAATGAGAAGTTCATTGAGCTGTGCCAATCATGAGCAAAATCATAGAGTTAACCACATAACACAATAATACATATACATGCTCATCAAAAAATATAAGAACCATTGGAAAATTGTACATAGTGTTTACAACCCAAGACCATGAAAGCAAAAACAAAATAAGGTCAAGGTATGGTGTGAGTCAAGACAAAACTCCGTCTCAGAGGCATGACTCGATTGGGTCACAAAAAGGCTTCTGAAACTAACTCTAGTGGTGTGCTCCATATGCTGATCACCTACATGTGCATACATAAAATTGGGTAAGTGAAGCTAAATGAGTAATAATACAGTAAAGTAGTGTAAGTACATGATTATAAGGTTCTTACAAAATCCATAATCATACAAATC